TGATCTTGCCATTAAACTTATCGGAACTTAGGCATCAGGATTTCTATTTAATTGCATGTTTAACGCGCGTTATTATTTATAAACTTTCCCCGTCGATAGATTTTTGTTAATAATCCCTAGCGAATCATAATCGTTGTTTGACTCGGAGGTTAAATAGAATCCAGAGAATAAGAAAGCGTATACAGATAGTCGGATTGTAAATCCGTGAGTATTGATAAATCTTATTAAAGCTACTAATTGGATAGAGGTTTAGCGATAGTAGGAACGAGCCTAAGAGTTCCGTTGGAAGACGACTAAATCCCAAGGTCGTTACACGAACGCTCTGCTACAATAAGCTCCTTCACGACAATCGCTTCAGTGGCGAAATTGCATCGCTTGCCACAAGCTAATAAAGTTTTATAATAATTCGTATATTAGGGTTGATTGACAATTCGGTCAGTTTAGATTTCATTTCATCGATAGTTAGATATTTATTGTGTTTAAACCAGTAAACACGTCAACTCTGCACGAATGTTGCTTGCAAATTTTTGTATAAGCCTGCTGGATATGAGTTTTATGGAAATAAATGTGTATAAACCAGCCACTCTTGAACAAGCAAGAAAAGTAAATGAAGTCTTAAAATAAAGTAATTGCTAATTACATAATAAACATATATACATCGAAATTGCGAAGGTTATAATTTTACATTTCCATGCAATTGATTATTTAAACAGGGTAACCCATTTAAATAATGCCTTCCGTATATTTAATATCATGTTATTAATAGTGTCCTTGCGGATTCTGAACGCTAAGAGATAATTGGATAGGGAATGCGGTAAAAACGATACGCGAGATTGCTAATGATCCCTGGACATTCACAGACGCAGTACTGATTGCTTATTAATACAAATCGCGATGGTACAACATAGAAATAACAGAGGATATCGAAATAATTCAAGTAGTTTGGACACAACTGCATCAGCATGAAGCTGATTTTCACAATCGTATAGGGAAGAGAAAGTCTTTATTTTGTAGAAAAGGGCTTCGGTGGTATCAAGAATGAAAACAGGGAAAGAAAAACTTTCATCCGGATAAACTTTATATAAATTGGGCTCTCGTATAGGTTTGGCGTCCGGTCAAAAAAAAAAAAGTATGCCATCGACTGCTTGGAATTCCAAACGAATTTATTGTCGCCGAAAGACTTGTTCAACTTACAAACATGAGGCGTGATAAGGGGTTGGCTTGTCAATAATCGGTCGAGCTGGATATCTATTAAGCGCATCTATTGATTGAAGACTCTGTTAACATATATCAACATGATGCCGGAAAACGTCAGGCAATGCTTACCCTCACTCACTCCGAGAAATCGAATTATGTTAGGGTGATCACCAACCTTGCGATGTATTTTAAGCTATAAAGAAAAATAACTGTAAATCAAGAAATACTAGCTAATGCACAGGTGACTATAGAAAAGAAAATAAAGTATTACCTCTTTGGAGTAAAATACCTTCATTTTTAGCGATCATCTCGTTTGATGCGATAACGCCTTCAACAATATTATCGCTTGAAGGTGTGGCTTCACGAGGACGTCCAGAACGAGGTGCATCTTCAATGCTTGATTGCCCAGCCTCAAATGCTTCAACCCAGCGGTATATGGTACGCTTAGGTAGCGCTTTATCCCCTTCAGCAGCTATCAACTCTTTGTGGATGTCGTCGGCTCCTTTACCGTTCTTCCAGCACGCCCAGGTATAGTATCTTTGATTTTCGTAAGTAGAATGTTGCATAGTTCTTAGCAGACCAGCTCAAGAAAAATTTTTTCTCAAAAGTCATCAAATCGGAATTTGCACATAATTGAATGTTACTCAAACTTACATATAAGTAATCGTACAGGGATTTAAACAATTATATACTGTACATTGGCATTAGGTGAATGGGAATACCAAAATGGCAGTGTCTGATGATAATAAACGACTTAATAAGCACTATATTCAGTCTGTTACTGCATCACATCATTGATAACCTTATTACTTTCATAGAGGATACAAACGCAAAGGTGTATGGGTCGCTCTCACTCCCACGCAATAAAGAGGATGATATGTATCTTAAATGACCTTGACTCTTTCAAGCTGAGAATCGTTGTAAGTCGAAAGGGTTAGTGGCGTGCGCGAATTTCCTGCGAATTTCTTTGGGTTGAATACGGCTGTAGAATGTTATGGATGCTTTTCGTGCACATATAATTATTACATCTTGAAAATTGCTGGTAATTCTCCGCCGTAATAATTAGTCAACCGTATGATCAAGACGTTTATTTATTAAATTTACTATGATGACGTGTCATTCAAAATTAAAATAATAAAGGTTATTGCATTACACAGTCAGACTCGTAAGTCGGCCAACCTATGTAAATTCTCGGTCGGCCAACGGCTTAGTTCGATAAGTCGGCTTCACGTGACAATTGGTAAGAATACAGTTTCTTCAATTTAATGATTAATTGTCCAATACAATACTTACACAAATACTTATAATCAACCAAAGAGCTAAACATCATACGATTAAAGTCATACGATTAAAGCAGTAAACATATCGTTAGAATCATACGATAGACATGCACTAGACATGTCATTAGATCATACGATTAAAGCAATAAACATGTCGTTAGAATCATACGATCAAAATACTAAGATGTTGTCGGGAATGAAAGATTTACGTCAGATAAAAAGAAAAGTCGATTCTCTAAGACAAGCTAATCTGCAGGATTATTTTGCAATGTAATTATATTAACGTTAGTGTATTAATAAACGGTTTAATTAAATGTATATCTTCGATCACATGGTTTTCGATAAGTCGGCCATTTGAGGCGGGATACTGTTGGCCGACTTATCGAGACTGACTGTGTATTCACTTTTAACTAATTTAGAAAGCGTTAGCTGTCCAAGGGGTAACTCGATTCATCGAATATATGTAATACGAGAACAACTATTAATAATTTTACGACATACAGGTAATTTTTTTAGCATGTTCTGAAATGGTATCCTATGCTGGTTAACAATAACAATTGCCATTAGTAACCGTGATTATAACAATGTCGTGTATCGATTAAATAAAGTACTTTGTTAACAATGCGATCACCTAAAATGGGATTATAAAGGAGGTATTTTTGTACAATGAAAACTTTGTAATTTGCTGCATTCCACTTCGATTGCTTCGATTGCTATCATAACGTAAATTTGCATACCTATTAAAATATGCTCAGCGAAGATATATAAATCATTCGACTGGCAATTCGATCATGCCCATTGACAAATTTAAAACCACATCAGATTTTACGTCGGGTTGGAAATAAATCCGCTTCACAGAGCTCAGTCTTTGTCTTTATATATGACACAAAGTCTGTCCTTATGTTTAGCCAGAAACACCCCCAACCCGACCGACATAGTGTGCATGCAAAGTCTTTATTGTTTGTCACACTGATAACAACAATATAAATTCAACGAGAAGGCAGTAGAGACGGAATCCCTTTCGTGTTTAAAGGGTTTCATTATAATGATCAACAGTAGTATGCAAAACAAGAATTGGGGATCGTTATTGTTTTTGATAATGTTGGTAAGAGCACAAACTAACCTGGAATGCAGATCATATGGGTGATCAATTCATATGATAAATACCTAAAAAAATGTTTACTTTTTAGATGAGCATAACAAGTGCTCAAATGCTAACTGGCAGTGTCGCATTGCCAACTCTAAATACATGGTAGGAAAAAGGCGTGTTTCAAATATCTAAAGTCGATCGTTATGGTAATAATTGTTTATTGTTATCATTGCCCTTTCTCAATTACATCAAACAAAGGTACCTGTGCTCTAAACAACCAACAGATAAGATTGGTAACTAAACCCTTTTATTTTTATTTTAAAGCTTGCTTTTCACTTCATATTCACATACTCATCTCTCTTACATTACCTTTTTAGCCTATGTAGTCACATACACAACTGTTGCTACAACCTCAACACCAGGCTTTGGTACAATTGTCCAGCATATCAAGATTAGTCCCAATTTGACTGCATCAACAGGTCTTCTCAGCGCTGTTCTGCAAGTGTCCGAGCTTTACAAGTATATGAGTGATCAATACAACGAATTCTTACCTCCCTATTCATGGTAAGTAAGATTTCCTGTGAGGTTGTGAAGGGAAGGGGTGGGGAGAGGGGTTTGATATGCACTCGAGGTGAATGTGTGTACAAATACTGTTTACAAAATAACCATGTCCTTTTCCTCTATCCTTGGAAAGCTGCTGCGACGTGCGTGTAATCGACTGTGTTATAGGCAGTAGTCTCCCTCCATTACCCACGAAGGATATTTACTGTCTTACCGTAAGAAACCCTAATGCCTTCACGTCCTATGCCAACATCGGGATCTCATTTGATCAAGTTGTATCTACCACAACACCGCCACCACCATCTCCGACGCCGACAACATCGAACATATCATCATCAATATCGACAACATCTCCATATATCCCTACAGTAACAGTCTCAATTACGGCTGGAAGTAACAAGGTTGAATGGAACTGTACGAACGTTCTTCTGCTTGGGTTAAGCTGGATCATTTGGAAATCATTTTTATTATTGTAAAGGATTCTTCAAGAGGATATCTATTTGTGTAATACTCGAATTAATGATAATTGATAATATTAATATCAAGAACTAAATGTATGCGCTGATCGATGGTAACAACTGAGTTGGAGAATTGTCTCGTTTAATTGAATACAATGTGTACAAGACTTTTCAAAGAGTTCGAGTGAACTTTGCAAATAAATGCCCGATTCAAGTTGAAACAAGTGGCCAAATGTAATTGCAAAATGAGACATTTATTTGTCTTTCGTTTAGAGGATTGTATTGTAAATACACTAATATGACATGGCTATCGAATAGATTCTTTCCCCAATGCATCATTACACGATTTGTATATAAACATAATCTATATATTTAATCACCCTTAAATGTACGTATCTAGGACAAATGTGAACCAACGCTGTCGCCCCGACCTTTCGACGACCGTCGAAGAAATTCCAATTCAGTCTTTACAGCGCTCAGTTCTGTTTGTGCAGAGCGCAACTTGAACTCCAACATCGATTTCCTTGCATTCTCTCGCAGCAGTGTTTCATTGGCTGTTTCTAAACGAGCGTTCTCCAGTTGTAATTGTTCTTTGCTTTTACTAGACTCGTCTTCCTTGAATTTCTCATTTTCGCCTCTAAGTGCTTCAATTTCCTTGTTCAATTCATTATATTTCTTCTCTAGGTCCTGCCAATCTATTGTCTTTGCATTAAGTGACAACTCTAACCCGTTATTCTTTTCCTTCTCGTTCTGAATCTCAGTCTCCAATTCACTTCCTTTCTTAATCAGCTCATCAATCCTAACCACGTATTCTGCTATTTCCGGCGCAGGCGTTTCATTCTTGGCTTGTCCGGTTGTTTGTCCGGTTGCTTGTCCGGTTGCTTGTCCGGTTGCTTGTTTAGACTCTGTATTCTCAAGACGATTCTTAAGACTAGTATTTTCTGCATTTTCTTTTTCGAGACGAGTCTTTAGATCGATATTTTCAGTGTTTATTTTTTCATGACGATTTTTAAGAGCTTCATAAGCCTTGTATAATTTCTCAAAGTTCTTGACTTTATTCTCAGCAGCAGTAGCTCGCTTCTCCAATTCCTCAACTTTTTTCATCACTTCATCTCGCTCTTGAACTGCTTTAACTTTATCTTGACGTACTTGTTTGAACTGAGCTCCAAATGTCTTCATCTGCTCGCGCTGATTTCCAAACGCAGTTCGATACTTATCACGCTCCTCGGTCACCGTCTTCAGATCTGCCTTCAGTTTTTCAACTTCCGCTGGATCTGTCACTTTGCCGGTAGCTATCAGACTTTGCAATCGAGCCTTGTATGCACTTTTCTGCTCGTTTGCCACACGCAGTTCCTCCTTGGCAAGATTAAGTTCAAGTTGAATAGAACTAAACTCCTGCTCAATACGACGTCTTTCTGCCTCTGTCTCCTTGGCTGTATCACGAACCTCGTTCATGGTGGTCAACGTATTTTCGTTCTGAACAGTTAACTCGTGTAATTTTCTTTCTGCCTCTGCGTATCGCTCGTTTACTGATTGAAGATCAGTCTCCACCTTCACAAACATATTTTCGCGATCCTCATTGTACTTTCTCAGCGCTTCATAACGCTCCTGGAGAGAGTCGTACTGAGCTTTATGTCGCTCGAGCTCCAAATTGAGATCGATAATCCTTTCGTTAGCAGCATCATGTTCCCGGCGCAAATGGTCAGTTAGCTGTACCAAAGCGTTTGGTGCTTCACCTTCAACTGTCGTGCTTGTTTGAGCATCTTGAAGTGACTTGTGCAATAGCTCAGCTTCCGATTTCAATGCCTGATATTGCTGTGATAATAATGCCATCTGCTGTTCGAGTGCAACTTTGTTATTGTTCCATCGTTCAGCATCAACACGTGACTGCGCCTGCAGTTGTTCCAATTGTTGCTCCAATTGCGAACATTTGTTAGCCAATTCATGGCCTTGCTGCACGGCACTTGTATACTCAAGCTGCACCGCTTGTTTGCTCTCCTCCACCGAACGCAATTGATTTTTATGTTGTTCAAGCTCTTCTAGAAGACGTGTCTCCTGTTGTCGAGAATTCTCAAGCGCCTGATTCATATCCTGCTCCTGCGATGTCCATCTATTACGATCATTATTAAGCTCTTCTGATTTTGCATTCAATTCCGCCTGCAATTGTTCGACGCTCGATTTCAGAGTATCAGCCTCGGTAATCTTTTCCGACAACTCTGCCGAAGTGGTCTCGTACTTGGCTTGCACTTCGTCGCGCTGCTTGCATGCAGCTTCTGCTTGAAGTTCCTTCTCTTTAGCGGTAGTTTGCCAGGTTTCAAGACTTTGATTTAGTCGCTCAATATGGCCGCGCGCCTTGCTGAGACGCTCCTGTAATACAGCAATGTTGCGTCCTTGATCACTTGCTTCATACTGTTGTACCTTGAAGGAATAGTCCGAAATCGTATCTCCGAGTGTCTTGATGGTTTGCTGCAATTCGCTCTTCTCTCGCTGAAACCCGGCTATAGTCAACTGTGATGCATCAAGCTTTTGTTGAAGTTCAGTTTCCTTTTGTAAAACCTGATTTATCCGTGTTTCTTGTTCATATAGTTTCTTGTTCAATCTTTCGGGTTCTTCACGAGCCTTAGCCTTAAGCTCTTCTTGTAGAACGAGAGTGATATCAAGTTTCTCAGATGTAAGACGCAACTTCTCGTCAAGTGACTGACTCTTTGTAGAGAGCTCTTGATTCTGTTGTTCGAGTGATGATATCTTGTTATTTGCAATCGTAAGATCTGCTTTTGCTTGATCAAGAGCACTTTGCAGGTCTTCTCTGCGTGGCGCGCGTTCAAACAAGACGGATTGCAAATTATTGAGCTGCTTATGCAATTCTTGGCTTTCACTACGCAGCAGATTTTCAGCGTCGGTCAGCCGCTTAACAGTGGCCTTGTGTTCGTTAGCAATGGCCTCCATTTCAGTAAATCGCTTTTGATGCCACTCAAGATCTCGCGTATACTGCTCGGTTTGAGTCACCATTTGTTTCTTCAAGTGTTCAATCTCATATTGAAGCATAGGCACACGATTCTTTTCATCCATAAGAGCATGGACTTTTTGATCCAACTTGTCACGCTCTGTAGTTACATCGCGAAGTTGTTGTTTAGTTGTCACGTAAGCAATCCTGTAAGTTTGAAGAGCTTGAGAAGGAGCTGCTGAAGATAAAGGCGTTTCAATAGACTGCAGTTCTTGTGATGTCATGCCTTGTGGCGATTGCGAGCGAAGGGTGCTTAGTTCTGCCTTGAGCCGCTCACATTGTGCCTGAAGCACGGTATTTTCGTTAATTGCATTTCGAACAGATTGGACCTCACTTTCCAATGTTTTTATACGTTCCGAGAGATTTTCGTTTTCTGATTTCAACTGCAGATTTTTCTCAAATATTGTTTCAAATGCTTCCGAGCTTGTGACTTCTCCCATATGCATTGTTGAAGATGTGCGAGTACCACCCTGACTCTGTATTTGTTGCAATAAGGACAAAGTAGTCTCTACACTTTCCTGCTTCTCTGTCTTTAGTCTTTTCGCGTCTCGTGTTAACTCTTCGATCTTTGTTTCATATGTAAAAACTTTTTCGTGAGCGAGCCTTAAGGCCTTTTGTACATTGCGCAGCTCTTCATTTAGCTGTGTATTATCGTTAATAGCTCGTTCCAATTGTTCTTGACGGCTATCTAGAGCGGGCTTGTATGCTTTGAGGTCAGCAAGAACCCGTTGTAGCGTCGAATCAAGTTCGGCGGTACGCTGAGAGGATTCAGCTAGTTTCCCTTCCATAGTTGTGTAAGCTCGCAAAAGGTCAACAACAGACGAAAATCCACGTTGTTTTAGAGAATCATAAGTAGCAGTAGTCGAGGAAGTGTTCATACCAAGTACAAGATTCTGGTTGGCCTGATCCAGTTCAGCACGTAAGCGCAAATTGTTCTCTTTCTCTTGCTCCAACTCTTTTCGAGATTGTTCGAGTTGCGTCTGTAACTGTACGTGAGAAGCTTCGTTAGCGATTTCTTTCTCGGCAACGTCTTGTTTAAGGTGCTCAAGTTCCTTCATCAAATCCTCGAAATCATTACGATCATTCTCTGTCTGCTCTTCGAGACGCTCATTACGACTTTTGACTCTTGCCAGTTCGCTTTCCAGTATAGTATTTTGTCGTTTCAATGACGCCATGTCTTCACTCTGAGCAGCGGTAGTGGCCTTTAGTTCCCGATCCTTTTCGATCAAATTTGCGCGCATTTGCATTACTTCACGTTCAGCGTCTGTGGCACGTTTACGAATTTCGGCATTCTCTTTTCCTAATTTTTCTAATTCTTCACATTTCTCTTTGTATGACTGCTGGATCTTGGTCATAAACTCTAATTGACGTTCGCGCTGCGCTTTTTCTTGCTCGAGATTTGTTTTGAAATCTTCAATTTGGCGTTCGGCTTTGTTCTTGCTCAAAAGGGCTTGGGTAATCTCTGATTCCAGCTTTGCTGTCTTACTTTGTGCTTCTGTACATGTTTCAATATATTTGGTTTTTTCGCCACTGAGAGCCTCGATTTGGTGATCTTTTTCTTGTAGTCTTTTCCGTAGTTCAAGCAAATCTTGATGGTGGTTACGAATCGCTTCCTCCGCTTGCTCGAAACGCAAAGTTAAATCCCTATAAAGTAGTTCTACCCCTGACTTTTCATTAACAGTAGTTTCCATTTGCTGTTCTACTTCATGATACTTTATTGATTGCTCTTTTAAAGCTATTGATAATACTTTTACTTGGTTTTGTAATTCGTCAATTATAACACGAAAGGTGCTGTTCATTTCCATCCTCACATCTTCCAACCGGTAATTGGATTCTTCTCTTGTGCTTGACTCGGCCATTTTCAACGATTAGACTAAAAGGACACACGTAAAAAAAGCTATTAATTTAAACAGAGCGATCGTAAACAAAACTTTCTAAAGCGGGGTTCGCCGAACGATGAGGCGTCCGCCAAGCTTGGCTCTTTTTCTAGCAGGCAACTTTAAAGACGCGGAAAGGAAATAAAAAGTGAAGGTGTCTCGTAGATCGCAGTCTGTTTGTATTTTTGTAAAAAGTCAAAATGTCAACAATTAATGATATAACGAGACTGTATCACGTTGACGGAGTTTTATTGGTTGACACGAGATGGTAATTATTATACCACGAGCATTATCATAATTAGACAAGATATCTATAGGCAAGGTAGACGACAATGGCTACGATTGGCAGGGCATAAGAACCGATGCCACTGTTGTTGAGAAGAAGAGGAGAACGGGGGAGTCGGATTAGTAATTATTAGGAGGATCGTAATGTTGTTGTATTGGACGACAGTCAAGGAAGAGAAATATCCAAAGCATTATATATCTATATAAAATAGTACCTTGATGCTTGTGGCTGGGGAATAACCGTAGGGTAGTTTTGTGCGGGCGGCTTTTTCGGAGATGTTTCTCCCTAGTAAATTTAACTTTGTATTAAATAACACCGTAATCAAAACCAATCAACAAAGAACTGTCAACATCTATAAATAGTGTTGTTGACTTAAAATCTCCATTGATTGCCACACTTACTGGCTTCATGTTACCAACAAGCAATGTTTCTAGGATAGCAAGAGCTTCATCGGAATGGCCGACACCTTCAAAAGGCTCTGTAGCGTCTTTACCTGCTACATCGAGAAGAACTTCTTCCCCACCCGGGTGCTGTTATATAGCGAATGTATAAGTATGTGATTTTATTTTACGGGAGCTAAAAGTTGAGTTGTGGTATTGAAATGGAGTTATGACCTTTCCGTTCTTTTTTTTCTCTTCTCTTCTGCAAATTCAACTAACCTCATCAATAAATTTCGACACATCGTAAACTTTTCCTAGAATAGAGATGTATAGAGATTTCTTTGTGTTATGAGCAGATAATTCTTCGTAAGTGAATTCTTTCGTCGACTCGGCCATTATATTATGTCAACGGGAATATTCTACAATATTTGAGCTGACGTTGAAAGTGTACGCAGAAAGAGAAAATGTGCGGGGGTATTGTCAAATGTGACTTGGTCCAAATATAACTCCGGCTCGGCGATCATCCGAAATCTACCCCAAATTCTTAATAAAATTTAGTTAGCTCATTATTTGATTCCCTGATAATAATGAAATATGATTAAGACGTGGATTCAAGGGGAAGCTTGACGTACTCGGGGTGTGATGTACTGTTTTTTGCTTTAAGCGATTCCACTTCTTTGCTCTAGGTTAGATGAACGGAATGAACTTGTTACTATTGATAATTGCAGGGGTGACCGCAAATACAAATTTCCTGGGCCAAAGCAGACACCATATTAATATTAATATTAATATACGTATCTAAATTTAGACTTTTTTTTTCAGGGGTATACCTTTACTACATACGGGGAGGTCAATATTGCTATCGACCTTCTCTTCGAGGCACGAGAGAGACATTGAATGCACCGTAGTTTACTTCTACATACGGCTACTGCATCTTTAATTAATCCGTATAGAGTGATAGTAACGAGAACTAACTGAAAAAACAAAACAAACCAAACCAAACCAGCCCATGTTGTATAATTCAATTCCCTTTCTTTATGGTTGGAATACAAGTTATCACGTCTGTGGATGCAGTTTTTTTTTTACGTGAAACATAGCTCCACATGTGAAGTAGTCTCAATATCTGAGCTGTACAAATATTGAAAGGAATTAGATCCTATTTGCTGTGTAAAATGTTCCTAATTTTTTGATTGGTTTCCCTATTGCTGACATTAATTTTTGTCTTCCTTTTCGAGGAAAAGGTAACAAGTCTATAATCTTTCCAAGTCTTAATGACTTCGATTTCCACATCAATGTAACTCGAAAACTGTGTGTCTGGGGCATGCCCAAGGGCTTCCACGATCTCGCGGGTGCTTTTCGCTCGTCTTTTTTAGGATAATTGGTTAGTAGAGTGCAGAGTTTATAAAGGCCCTCGTTCGAAATCTGTCAGCTCACGTTTTTAAGACTCAAAGTGATTCTTAAGGCGTTGATGATTGTGAAAAGATAAATGACACGTAAATAAAAATATCGGTTGGCTATTTCTATTGGGAAGTTACACGAACCACGCTACTGATATTAAATGCGGGTTTAGCGGACCATCCAAAATAGGTCTTGTTCTAGTCTGAAAAAGGTCTCTGCCAATTTAGAAAATTACCGTCTTCACGTGTTCGATTGCTCAATTTAGTACTCAGTTTGTACAAAAAGAATTCTGAAAGCAACTTGTCATAAGCCAAAAATGGTTAATTAATAGGAAATACAGATTAATTTATGGTAAACCACGAAGGAATGTTAGTATCGGGATATAGAGGTCACTATTTTTATAGATCGGTAGAAATCTATTAGATTGTCCTATATGATCTTTCGAGTATTCATTGCGATCGCCTATATTTTAATTCACTATGCCCGATATCGACTCTGTTGTGTTCGACCACGCACACTATTGCCCAAGACATTGTTGAAATTGTTTCGAGATCGTTGTTGTTGTCCACTACCCTTTTGATAAGCAGTATGTTTCTCTGAGTTTTGACGAGTTTGGTTGGATTGACCTACGTTATAAATAAGAATTTAGTATGGTTTATATATCAGATTGTGATAATTATCTGCAATCAACTTACCCTTGGGTCGCTGATCACGATTAACCAGTCCACTTTGCACTTTTTGTTCAAGGGCTCGCTCATTAGCTTCGACAAATGCAACCGCCTTTTCAGCAAACATAAGTGCTAGCTGTTGCACTTTGGTAGGTTCAACTCGATGTAGCACAACAACGTTGTTCACTTGATTCAATGATGCAGCCAGTTCCTCGTTCCAGATCATTTTTGAGACAATTGAAGTCACTGCATTCACGGGTAGAGAAAACATGGTTGCCAATTGATCCAGTCCAATAGTAGAGTAATAGGCTGAATATGTAAAGAGATATGTGCGGAGGCCTTCTTCTTGTATTTTTCGACAGAGCATTTCCTTAATTTTAGCTGTCCCTGGCATTAAATCCCATATCTTTATTGCACAGATAAGTTCCTGGCATTTCTGCCATTCACCTGCAGCAAGTGCTTTGGCAGCTCCCATTATGTGATCTCTTGTATTCTCGGGTGGTCCTGAAGGTTTAATGAAGAAAACGTGTAATTATTTGGAATAGATAGTGTTGTGCGCAGCATATTACAATATCAAAGTTAAATTATTCAAGCATCCCTACTCACCACTAAAAACTTGTCTCTCGTTGTAGTCCAATAATCTTCGGAACGGTTTACTTATTATTTTCTTCTTTGCTTCCGGATTGGAACCTGCAGCTGCCATACTTGGTATCTCCAATAGCATAGAACACGTTAAGTAGGCACATTCTAGTAATTCTAGGTTGATGTGCATATGGAATGGTAGTTGACGCTGTCTATCCAACTTTTCTTGTTCGGGAGAAAGTTGAGAATATTTTTGTATTTGCAAGCCCTATATTGTCAAAATAGACGTTGTGTTCAGACTATCAATTACAGGCATTTAATCAATCTACCTATTATTGTCAGTACATAAAATGTTGAAAGTTGACCTGTGCTAGTAGCTCCTTTGTCCTTCCAGTTCCACAAATATCCTGAAGACAGCTCTGTGCTTCTTTAATCATTCCTTCACGAAAGGCACATAATCCCACTTGCACCATAGTCCTATTGTGTAGAGTCTGGGTTGCAACATCTGCTTGATGGATGGTCTCTTGCAAATGTGACATCAATAACATATCACGTGCGGTATAGAACCTATTGTGAAGAGCATGATGGTATATGTGACACAGCATAGCCCGTGTACGTAGAAGAGACTCGCCTTTCTTATATAGATATACACAAAGTGCATGTATCAAGTCAGTCGAGTCATTTGTGACCGAGGGTGGAGTAATTTCCGACTTTAAAGTGTCAGGGAGACCTTCTGCGACCAAGCTTTCAACAGTTTGAATTACTTGATCAGGCTATGTGAAAATAATGGACGTCAGTTAATGGAATGTAAGTAATACTGGCCTGTAAAGGCTACGACGCACCTTATAATACAAATGCTCTAATCTTCGCATCACAACTCGACTAGTGCCATCATCCAATCCATGTTGTTCAAAGTATATTTGTCCGCGCACTATTGTAGAATATAATTCAGTCTCGTCCTTCAATCGGTCAACATAATCCGTTGTATGCGGGTCAATATTCTGTAGAGATTTTGTAAATTCATCATCCAGACGATCAATGTATGAGACAATAGATCCACGAATTCCGTGCGTTTTGCCAGGTTCAAGTACTGGTTCTTTGTCGGCTTCTTCTTCTTCAACTTCTTCATGTATTACAAATTGTGGATTATTTTTCCAAAATCGCAAATAACTGATTTATCTGTTTCAAAGTACTTTAACGGAAAAAAAATATATACGGATTTAATAAGCATGTATACGCTGTAATCCAAACATATTCCGTTCATATAAAGTATTTAACACCTTTTCCACATTTCAATGGATGTATAGCCGGTCATACTAGGATTGTAATCAAATTGGCAAGGAATTAAAACGAGTAGAACGCGAATAGATTGATACGGCGTATCAGCAAATTCCAAGAGTTTCTGAAGTGTCTTGATTTGCTCAAGCCTATCTGTGTTCTAGGAAAACATTGATAGCATGTTAGTATCAAGCAGCATACACCATAATATTGCAATCTTTGGCGGTTTGCCTAGTCTACCTTTTTGCCTCTAGCCTCCAACACTTCTCTCAATCGCCGAAACAAGCTTTCTGGAGTGTCCTCTATTAGGTCTACGGTGCTTTCGTGTTCCGTTCGACTCGGTTCACGCACTTCCTCTACTTCTTCTTCCTCTTCTTCGGCTTCTTCAACGGGATTCTGCGTTGACAGATGATACAAAAATATAGTCACTTTTATAAATACAGGTATGGATGGTGATTATCGAATAAACAATCAAACATACTTCTCTCCATTTAGCAATCTGATCCTCGTATAACCTATTATTTTTCCGGATTTTTTGTTTCATCGTAACCATGGCCTTGGCCTGAATGGCGTTCATTTTCTTTTTAGCATCTTTCTCTTTGGCATCCTTTTCTTTTTTGCAACGATTCATTCAAGAAATCTTCAAGCTCGGCAATTATCTTTATATAAAGACGTGGCGGACCTTTTGGACTAACAGGGCCTTTCGCCAAAATCTTATTCAATTTATCAAATTCTGTAAAACAAATATAGCGATAGAAATCACGTTAATTGTGATCGTAAAAATCAAATTCCTAACAATTCTTCGTTTCCACAAAAATATTACCAGTGGAGATAACAGCCCAGTCATTAATCTTCATGGCGTTTTCAATTGAACGCACGGATGTCTCGATCTCTTCCAATTTCTTGTCCTTTGCCGATTTTACGACCCGCTTTACTTCATCCGCAGAATCATCCGAATCAGATACAACACCGCGAATGAATCGACCTTTTGCTCCGGCTGCTATGGGTTGTCTTTCGGTTTCATCTTCGGATTCTTCTTCGGATAAGTCATCTGAAAGTTCCTCATCAGAAGTCAGCGACTCTTCTGACTCCGACTCTGACTCCGAACCTCCGCGAAAGAAACGACTACTCATTGGTAATGTTTATTGGAGATAGGCTTGTAGAGCGAAATATGGGTTGCGTGCTTGAGTTCACATGTTGCATTAAGGCGGTGGAACGAAAGCAGAACTTGAGGGTTCTTTATACATACCTAAACTGCTGCTAAGATCTCAAATGTCTTGCTCAACACGCATATTATAATTTACTTGTGAAAAATTTTAAAGAAATTTTGAAACCACGTGATTTAATGTAACCATATTAATATCAGACAACATTACGCAGTAACTTTTTTATGTGACGGTTTGTATTTTAACCCACAGTTTGATCGGTGTAGTCATCACATAACTAGTGGAAATAATATGTATACTAAGTCAATGTAATTCAATGAACATGATGTATAATTGAATAGTTTACCTTGTCATGATTGATTGCAAATAGTACGTAACCGGGCAAAAGAACTCGCCGAGCTCCTTTCTGAAGTTGACAGAATTCACGTACATCCGAAAAAGACCCGTGCGAACAGGCAGAAATACACTATACACATCACTACACATCTATCTCAATTCCATAAATAACGGATCACTGAAAATGATTGCTCTGCTGTTTGCTCAACAAGACTTTAATAGTATTTAGGGTGATGGCTATGTTTAAATCTTTCTTGAGCAAGGAGGTTCCCTCCTCCCAGAAACTCATAAGACATTTTGCTTACAGCAACGTACAGTCATTCTATAAATTAATAACCAAAAATTCGTAACGTATCATGTCGAAAATCTCATGAGACTAGTCTCATCGGCCAATACACGTCTACAAAATAAATAATAGTTAGGAAGTCACCGCGCAAGCAATAAAAAATGTACCAATTACGAATGAATCATACCTGGATCTGCTTTCTCTTGTTCTGGCGACTGTTTCCAATTATGCCTGGATTTACCTGGAACAGGTGGCAATTTATTTTCAGAATAGAAAGCCTCGGGTGATGAGGCTATGATTTCTGTTATTGAAAGCTTCTCTGGTAATGTGGCTATCTGTGTTGATTCACCCTCTTTACCGCTCGCAATGCTATCAAAGATTCGCATTAAAAACAGTGAGTTTCGTGTATAAACAATATACGGTCATATTTCGTTTTGGCCTTTGTTGTACCTTTTAAGGTTTGTTGCCGCAATCAAACCAGCAATGTCATTTTGAGTATAAAATTCTGTCCGAGGGTAGTTCCGTCTGGTATCGCGAGTGTAATAATAATTTTGCGCTAAATCTGAATGTTTCGTTTTTGCATGTTTGTATGTTGGTGGCTGGGAACTACAGATTAACAACATATGTCAGACATTGAATCTATGCGACAAGAGTCTAATAAATCTTCTCATACCCAGGAGACGGTACACGATAAGTTCCAGTTAATGGAATACCACTGTTCGCATCAGGATTCTATTATCCAAAACAAGAAACCGATGAGATCTGCAAGAGCGAGGTCTAACTAGTGTCCCATTAACAGACACTCGTACTCAAACTTACCACGGCGAGAAGTCGTCGAAGCTTGTCAAAAAATTTGCTCTTGATTCCCAAAGTATATGACATTTTTTAAAAATTTGTTCTTCTAAAAAATATTAGAGTTGAGTTATTATCATCACATGACAATAGCTCGAATATGTTGTTACACAGCAGAATCTGGGAATGTATTAATTAGCTGCCGCGTTATATTATCTCTTTTCTGCTTACAATTGTTTATTGAATCTGCCTCTGTAAAACACATCCCCCATCAACCGCGAAAAAGACAATTGAATCAACAAAACAACAAACTCTAGTTATTGCAACTATAAACTATGCTATAATTCTCTCTGAAAATTCATAAACCACGCGAAAGAAAAACATTATTGACTTTATACCGGAAAACTATTATGGACTTGGAGACCGGCCGCATAAATATAATCAGCACAACGCCAATAACGACAGAAGAGCCTATTATCATGACATCAAACAAGAACTTTCAGATGAATTGGAATTTGTTTTTGGTAGTCTACCAAAGGATCAACAACAAGTTATAATGGAGATTGAAGCAACAGGATACAAAATTCAAAGTAAGTAAACTTGTAATGCTTGTATTATGTAACTACATGTAATTGTATTCCTTATATTAATATTTTTGTTTCATCTAGAAAAACGTGTTGGAATTTATGTAATGCATGACATTGACAAGTTAACAGATGGGGTCCAAAAAGTACTCATAAGTAAGGTAAGAACACTCTATTACTTTTCTAAGAGTAAGATTTACTGTATTAGTATGATCAATAATAAGTGTGATTTGAAGAATCTGTCAAGAATATAGAAATCAAAAGAGGGTTTGTTAATCCTTCTTCTCCAGGAATTTGTCAGTATTATTATGTAGAATCATTCATAATTGGCAGCTTAAGCTACACAACTTGGTCTGACAGATAATGGATCTAATACTAATATAATCCAACTGATTAATATTAAACAACTCTGGACAGACATACTAGGATGAGTTCCAAAAAGGCTTGAAGGGAAACACTGATCATCTCAGAGAATTAATATTAATGGGTAATGTTAAAAATTTGGATTTGAATGAGGATGTACAATGGACTTTGCACACACTGAATGAAAGGTAAGCTTTTCAAACTCTGTTTTAGCTATGGCCAGTCTTCAAAGGAAATCTTACTCATTTTTTGTCCAAAGTGCATGCATTATTTGTACAGGCTTCATGTCAACAGATATGGCAGAGCATGATATTGAAATGCATATTCTAAGATAACCCCTTTTCAACCTTATTATGTCTGTTCCTACTACTTATACTACCCTTACATTTTGAGCATATGCAGATGACACCACAATTATTGGCCACACTACACACTTCCAATGACCTCTTCCTTCTCCTCAACTCAATCTTTCCCCTTTATCATTCCATTACTGGTGGTCAAATTAATGTCCAAAAGTCCTCCCTTTATTATTATCCCCTATCACCTTTTACATTTCCATCTATTCCCAACTCTCCTCCTATTTTATCATTATCTGGCAAGTCAGTCACTTGCATTTGTGAGTTATTATTATTTTGTCATGTAACTTTATTATCTTATTATAATCTTGATACTAATTAATTCTATCATGAAGTGGTGAAGCAGAATCAAGAGCATCCAGGTACATTGACAGAATAATGGTGATAAGTTTGACTGGCTCATAGCTGTAAGTGTTTTCAGGTATTTTGTATTCAAGATGGCATTTGACAATAAGAATTTGTCTACTATTGCTTAGAATTACTCAATACTTCCTGATGGTATCCATGGTGTTGAGCTGGGAGTTGGTGAAAATTCTGGCCCAAATCAAGTAGAAACAATGGATCATGCCAATCTAGGGTTTATAAGGGTAGTAATACACTTCAACTTTCAGCACAAGAATGACTAAAGCAGTGTAAAGAACTTTATTTACAAATAAATATGGACAGGTGGAACTCTACCTACTATGCATGCATGGTATGTATCTAATATGAATACTGATAGAGTTTTACAAAAAAGGAGGGAAAGTTGGAATGATTATTATTATGCCTTACAGTTAGTTTCTGTTCATGTATCCTAATTATAATGGGGATGGGTTTTTTTTATATGTCAATGTGCACAAAGTTAAAGTTTTATTTACCTGTTATTAGGTTTGTTCAAGACATGGTTGACATGCTAGCACCAACTGGCAAATTTACATGTCATATTAATATTTCTGGTACAACTATTCTAATTCACAACATATTAATATGAAGGGTTGAGGAATTCTTTTTGAATCAGTCATGCAGAATTTCTGACTAATTATGATAGCATATCGCCTAATTGGCAATCTTTTAAATATATTAATATCATTACAATTGTTGTTGTCTTATTGTTATCAAAGAGAAAATTCATAATTCATAGCAACATCAAAGCAAATAATAAAATTTGTGTAACATTATATTAATATGATCTTGTAATAGTAAGTCAATTCTAGCAAGCTTTAGTAGTTTCCAATAAAGATCTTACAATTCCAATGATGTGGACAATAGTAATGGGAATGCTGATCATTGACCCTGTTAATTCTAGTGGCGGTCTAGTTAGAGTCTGTGCTGCCATCTACTGAACTTTGGACAGTGCCTTCTGAACATGTCTTAATCATCTCTATTCATGATCCCCATTTTAAACATTCCAGCTGTTTTGATTCCACCTAATGACCTATCAATCAGAACAAATGAATTAGACAACTGGCTAGAAAATATCTTTCAATCCCTGCCACTTCAGAAGGCTGGAACATAACAGCAATGAGAACGCGTTTATTATCTAATACTAATACTAATTTAGTTAACAGAATTTTGTTTCTACAAAGAAACACCAAGTATATTGAAATATTTCCGCTACAGTAAATTTTACTTTGGTGTTTTTAAATGTGCTGGCGATTTCTTTTAGCATCACATTACTTTCTACCTTCAAGGAGCTGTCAGCCGTTGTCGCTTTACTCAATTTCCGCATTGTAATCATCTGATTGCCGACAAAGATTATTGCTATTCGCACTCGGCAGGTGCGTAGTGTTATAACAAAGAATATTCGAAAGATGAGAATTAACATTCTATTGACTGAAATATCGAATATTACGTACACAACAGCAATATTACTAATAATTAGAAACTGTCTAATTTAGATCAACACTATCACTATAGCCGGTTCAACTCGAATAAACCGATCAAATATTCGGTTTAGATTGAAACCGGTAATTGATAACCGTTTTCAACAAAATTTATTTTAAATCCTATATTCGGCTTGTTCAAGTCGTCGGGTTTATTTCCCACCCAAAGTGTCACAACATTGAAATTTCTACTTTATGATTACGCGTGTCTCTGGTTAAAATGTATGTGCCACTATTATCAAGGTAAGGTGTCTTTGCAATTAGTGTATACGTGTAATCTGGCTAGAATGAATATTTAGCTAGTTAGCATAATGAATGCAATGTCATCGACACCATAGTACATTCTGCCATTATAGAATATCAGTTTGTCGGCCTTTTACATAACCACTGTTGCACATGTGCACATGAACAAGTATGTCCCCTAAATTTGGCTGAGGATAAAAAGCGGGCTGTGTTTTAAGTAAGAATGACTGACATTTAAAAAAAAGGTGCCATCTCCCTTGCATCTGTCATCTACAGTAGGTTTTGTATATTTTCATAGCTTGCAGCGTTATAACTATTGTATTCGGAATACTGTACATTGAACGGATCACTCCTATATATATTAATGTATACCTTTTACATTCATTCCGAAATTTGGCAATCAGGAAAAAAAAATATTCCGTCCGCGCAAAATCTCCGATTTGCCTTTCCCTCCCAACATATGGTTGGATGGCTATAACATTGTTCGTAACGCACCCCTCATTTCGCACAATACCCCGATTGTCGATTGTCGAGATTACTAGACCTTTCGACTGTCATGTGCTGCATGTAGAACCGGGTATTCTTGAGCCACTTTAAACCTTGTGCTAAACCAAAATTAGCCAATCCAAACGGACATTCGAAGTAATACAAACATCCGGGGTAAAAATATTTTGTGTCGATAGCAGAGGAGCAAGGAATCGAGTGCTTGTCATTATGACGTTGAGTTTATAAACTGAAAAACAGCAGTTATAGTATTACAAACGACTGGGTGGCCGTGCGAAATGCTTGCATGAGGAAAAAATTTCTTTATTATGTTTTTTTCCTTAAAGGGGGCAAAGAATGCCAACGTTGTTAGATTTACAGATTGGATTCAAATTACAAAAAATCATTCTAATTAGAAGGTATATGACAAACGTACAATATGTAAAATGTTATGTGCGTGTAAAATGTATATGAACATGTGCACGTCTACATACACGAATTTTTTTTAATACAAAACAGTTGAACTCGTTGCAATTAATAATTAGCAAAAATGATAATAAAAAAAGGTTGTAAAAAAACGCAGACACAAAATCCCCCCAAAACATTTGATAAATACCTTACTTTCAATTATACAAATCTGACCACTCTATATTATCCAATTTTCTACAATTACAAATACATCAAAATACTGTCCATCCACCACTTCCCCCTATTCCATCCCCTCTTTACACAATAAGGAGGTAACGCTCATTCTTCCCGATTCTCTATTACTGTCTTTCTCTTGACCTCTACTCATGAGCCCTATATCCATATAGCCACCGTATGCACTGGATGCGTGTCTCGAATGTCGGTTATGCATACGAGTCATCTGGATGTTGCCAATGTGGCTGTGTGTTTGTTGGTTGGGATGAGATTGCGGAAAGATTTGCGTATTTGATAATGTTCGAGTAGTAGAAGATGCGTGAAATACGCCGTGTCCAGTACTAGAACTGCCATTCCGTGGTGTTGCAGGGTACCCATCCACAAGAATCGATGGTGGGGATATTGCAACGCTATGATGATCGTCTATGTACGACTGAGAAGTCATAGAAGGAGTATTCGTTTGCATGTTTCGGTGAGCTTCCCTAGGATCTGGTTTGTAGTCATGTGGAATGTGTGGATGGTTTGTTAGGCTTGATTGTACTTGACGTTGTTGGTACATGTCAGGATGTGGTTGCCGAACTCTAACTGATGTGCTAGAGTATTCTTGAGGTGATGATGGGGTTTGAAGTGAATGAATCTGGTGTTGAGATTGTGAAGCGTGAGGATGGTTCGAGAGAGAAGAGTCGGACACTAGAAAAGCTGGCTGCTGTTGTTGCTGTTGTTGTTGTTGTAGCTGCTGGTGACGTTGTTGTAGCTGCTGTTGCTGTTGTTGTAACTGCTGTTGCTGTTGCTGTAACTGCTGTTGCTGTTGTTGTATATCCATGTTCGTTTCTCTACGCGCATAATCTCTGTTCTGATCAATATCAAACGCCCGATTCATTCTACTACCATGTCCAAATGATGCGACCCGCCCTATGCTTCCATTATTACTATTCCCCGGCCTGGTCTTGGTAAAGTAAGCCACAACGTATAACTTGTTCCATGTATCCTTTCTCGATAAATCTCCACCAAGTCCACCACCAAAATGCATTTTAACATTATACAAATCATATTCACCGCTTCTCTGTCTTAGTGATATCATATCAGAGACCTCAATAGCATGGCCACCGTTTGCTGCTGGATAGCGCAACTCTTCAAGCGGAAGAGCATAGAATCCAGGGTCTTGCGTGGTTAAGGGTGGTTCGCGAAATGAGGGCGGGTACGGCGCATATGTCTGAGCATGGTAGTGATTGTAATATTTTTCTGCATTGTCCGTAAGAGATATAACCATTTTGCGCAGACTGTCTCGGAAGGATGGGTGTACATATTCAAGAAGCGACTTGTGGGTCAATTCTTTCGAATAGTATCCTAGCATTGCTAACGATTCATCGGAAACACGAGCACACCAGATATCTGTAGCAGTAAGAAACATTATAACTGGAGGGTTTTCAGTTATTGGTGAAATTGACGGCGGCGTTTGTGGATATGTAGATGTTGTGAATATTGGTTGTGAATAAGACGTTACATATTGTGATGATGGCTTGATGTATGAAGGAGAACGTTGATGATGTGGGGATATTGGAGAAAGTTGTTGAGGTGGAGACATGCAAGTCGGGTATTGTTGAGAGGGTTGCAATTGCTGAGGTAGAATAAGTGGCGTTTGTCGTTGGGGTAGTTCTTGTGGCGGTGATGATTGAGGTGGCGATGTTTGTGATAATTGTGAGGGAGATGGTGACGGGGACGAGATGGAATTGGATGTTGTGGGCGGAAGAAAATGATGTATTTGTGGATTATTGGTCCACGTTTTTGTGGCGTGTGTGTTATATGGATGTGACTTTTTGTCTTTGAGTTTAGGACGTCCGCGCTTCTTATGCTTGATGTCGACACACGTATCCACTCTTCCTAGTGCAATGCAACGTTTGCATGGTCGTGATACTAGAGATTGGTAAAAAAAAAATAACAAGTTTGATAAGCAGGGTCTATAGGCAATAAATACGCAAATAAAAAAAATAAACTTTTCGTAAATAACTATTGGATTTCCCTAATAAAACTAGTTCTGCATGTCAAGCATAAAGAAAGTGTTAAAAAAGGGGTTTCGGATGAGTAAATTTCCGAAAATTACTCCGAATAGCATTCCTAATTGGAGTGGGGTAAATATTCTCAATGGAGACGATGTGTGATGAAGATGGTAATATTTGATAAAGATGCATTATTACCGCTTATATATAATAACTTCTCCAAATTCGAATACTCTCTTCCTTGTATCAAGTTTTCGGTTACTTACCATCGCAAGCCAAGTGGGCTCTCTTGCAGTTAATGCATGCACTTGGCACATGGGTCTTGCTTGTTCTCTTTACAGTAGTGGCATTACTTGCATTCGCCATATTCGTCTCTTCAACATTAGAGTTGGTTGGTGGTGGCGTTGTTGCGATATGATGGTTTGATGGCTCGCTCGTTGCTTGTCTCGGGTACTGTGCATAAGTTGGATACAGCGAAGGGTCAAAGACATATGGTTTGTGTGTCCCGCTAGAGAAGTTTGGGAGCAGATAAGGCTGTTCAGGGCGTAATGGGGTAGTCATAAGTTATGGCGTAATGCAAGGACGAGTTGAAGAATGTAAAGAGGAGAACGAGCGAGTATGAGGGAAGGGGGAGGAGGGGGCGGCAGCGTGAATATTGAATGAGCGGAGATTATATGTTGTGGATATGAAATGCGTAAGTGTTTTGCGTGTGTATCAAATCTATCGATTTTTTTTTCTCGTGAGTCAAAGAGTGCATACAAGTTGTGTGTGTAATGCAAGTATTTTTTAAGCTGATAGGCGGTAGGCTGCGTTCGAGTTTGGGGTTTGGATTATTTATCAGTAAAATTCCGTTTGGTTGCACCAAAGAATAAGTTGTGTTTGATTCTAATAAATATCTGGGCATTGTTATTATACTGTAACACGTAATAAATTGATACAACGACTTTTTTATGTGACTAGCGTATTCATTATGATTATGATATATTGGATATTAATAATTTGGCAGATCAGCGACATCATCGATTGCTAACGATAATAGTCATTACCAACATAGTTACTGTTGATGTGGCATTAAAATCTGCAACAATACATTGTTACTGTACTGGTAATAGTAAACCATTATAGTTGTTCTTTATGTCCACTCTTTAAACCCATCTTCTTGTTTGTCGTCGCCCGCTCTCATTTGACATGTTGATGATTACTTAGCATTGCATATAATAATAGATTAACTCGAACACGTGTGAATCGAAAAACGAATAATGCCTAAATTACTGTTCTAGAATTATGTACTGTCACGTGATCTCCATTGATGTATCTTATCTTACTATTACGAACTTTATACAAACAATTTATGTTACATAAGCATCTAGTATAAATATTTGCAATAAAATCCTTGCCAGGAGAAAAGAAGAGAAAAAAGTGAGGGATGTGAGGGATGTGATGTGAGAATGAAAAACAAAAAAAAAACTGTCTTGTGTTCAGCATCGTTAGCTTATTATTAATACAGACGGGACATTTTTGTGAATCTGATTTGTTCCACTCGTGTACACAGTTAGTACAGTTAGTGCTTAGCTAATATATGCTGATACATATCGAATATGTCAGATGTCATTAAGTTGCGAAATGGAAACAATTTTAGTATAGACCCAGAAGGATTAGTGACATGGAGATGGAAAAACTCTTGGACCAAAGGAGTAAAACCTTCCGACCACATTAGCCCAACTTGACACTTGTATAAGAATATTCGTTATCGGTTAGGCTTTCTAGTATTGATTAAGGCTACAGGCCTTACATAAAGTTTTGTACTACACATTCAATGTCGGGGAAATATACAGTAAACATTGAAATATGAAACTCTATCATTGGGCTGTGCGTTGCAATCTGTGTGCGTATGTGTGTGCGTATATGTGTGTGCGAGCGAGCGAGTGAGAGAGAAAGAGATACCAAAATCTACAGCTGCCACAACTTCTCCAACTGCCACAATCGAAAGCGGTAATGCATATTCAAGTATAGACGACGGGCTGATTTTTTAGCAGATGCAAGCAGGCGGCGAATAAGACGATTGTCCGCATTGCATATTCCATAAACGGTGACATATGTATGACCATAGTCTATTTACGCATATTGCAACATACTAATAAGAATAACAAAGCGTATATAACCAATTGATTACCGCTTCTAATTGGCACCTTTACAATCAAGTAATCACCGTTGTTATTTCTCCGTATACCTCCTCCACCAGTAATCTCGGATACAATAGGGGTGCACACACCCTAATAATACACATGTTCGGCGGCAGTTTATTCACTGTGATGTTTTCTTTATTAATCTGTACGACTTCTTGGCAATTTCTAATTGTTCGATGACATAATAATTGTCGGGGATTTCTAATATTTGACTATAAGACTTGTGTCACTATTAATACAAATGGATCCCTATCCCCGTGATTGTATTCCTGAATGCGAGCGAGTTATGGCTTCTACCTCTATTGTCACTATGATGTTGTCGGTATAATATTATGTCTTGTTAACATTGTGCTATTAGTTGCGTTCGTATTTATATTTAGTAGTAGTATGTTTATTAAACGCTCCCACACACCAACTTTACTGTTGAAACAACCTATCATATTTACGTGACACAACCGACGCCCAGTATTTCGATGTTACATGCATAACATGCCGTCCAATCGGAATATCGAAAAATGTACGAGATGTGCAAAATCGGAGTAAATAACATTTGGGGCGTGTTCTTATTCTGCAACAAAACCAGAACAAAGCGATCACGGCGCCACAAAATGATTTCAGGGTTTCAAAACTAAAACTATTGAAACGCCACAAACTGATCTCAATAATCGGAAATTTAAATTTGTTTGACTATATTACTAATATCGGGCTAATTTAATGAAACGCAAATTTCAAAAATCATCTCTCCTAGAGGTAGGCTAAAGCGGAGTAGTTTATGCCACACAGCAGGTCCACAAATCAACAAAGTACCACAATCATTTGAAGCGAACAGTCGAATACAGTCAAAACTGGATATAACGATACCTGTATAACGACGAAATTATTTAGTTATACTATTAAAACCTCGTTATTATGTATAACGATGTACCAACTATTGTAGCAATATATTTTTATACCGATTATTGTTGTGTGACATCCACCCATGACCAATCAAATTTCGTGTATTAGTATCTCCCCGAATTTCAGATTTTCAATGTCTAATACTAAACAAATGAACGAACTACCAGCGAAAACATCCAATATCCAAGAGAACACGCTGGACCTTTGCACAAAAAAAGGATGTGTGTGTTAAACTCTCTAGTAAGCCCAAATCTCAGGAAAAACTTGCCGAAGAATACAATTTCTGATATCTGGAAAAATAAGAAGTGGTTGGCTGTCAACTCAGAGTCAACAGAATTCAATAGAATGAGTAGTCGTAGACCAATAATAAGAAACAGTCAATGCTAGACGGTTTTGTTACCAGAATGTAGTTTGTAATATCATTAATATCATTGAATCTTTTTTTCAATAAAACCGAACATCAAACAAGATAGATAATATCTTGTATAACGATATTTTTTCGTAACTATTATGTTATCGCTATAACGATGAAAATGTGACCTAACGAAAGTATCGTTATATCCAGTTTTGACTGTATCATGTTATACGAACTGTTTGTCTCATCATTAACTTGTTGAGAACACAAGTTACGCGTCGGTTTGGCAGTTTCAATACATCAAATTTTAACATTACAGGTATGCAGAAACTCTTTATTCGTTACTTTAGACGGGGCTGGAATAGCAATTTAAACTTCACATACAGTTAGACTTACGTTACATTTATGTTTGAGCGCGCTAGATACAACAACTCAGGTGAGACTCATGAGTTACAATCATACACTTTATTTGCTTACCACGCTGTTTGTACTTTACTTACGACGGTAATGTGACTTGAAACTGTTACAGAAAGAATAGTGCGGTTTCGAAAAGATATAAATTATCGTAACGAGAAATTTTCACATACATTTCGATAAGAAATAAACTTTTAATAATTATAAACATATTTTATATCGTAAATTTGCATCTTTGATTTCGTTTCGATGTGACAGTATCACTCCTACACACATTTTTCATGACATATGTATGGATCCACTAAGTTGGTGACTGTTATGTCCAAAGAAAGCAGATTTGAAGTTTATGAACGGCATGAGCAAGTCACTGACTTGTTTGTATTGGAGAATTGAGGAGAGCAGTAATGAGGGTTTACGTTCTTTATTACTAGTGGTAATAAAGAAAATTTTTAGCTTATTATCACATGATTGTAATGGCACTAATAAAGATTAGCTGATTCCTGCTGTTTGGCATGAACTACTCCGTTTAGCCTATCCCCCTCTCCTAAAAGAGGTTGTCACAATTGGAAAGTTCAGCTTCTTTCTTGCTTTTGCCTTTACCGGTTCCACACAAACTCGACCCGCAACTGGAAATTCCCAAATCGTATGAACTTGCACTTGTATTGAGCTGCATTCTGTAAACGCATATTATACAGCATAATATTATATTTTAATTTGACATATTTTCTCTAGTAATTATATTGCATTAATTATGATTATCGACAGTAGCTAGTGTTCTCACAAAAAGATTGAGCCTTTGAAAAACTACACGTAAATGTAAGTGAACATGAGGTTAGATCTTAAGATCTATTATTACTATATGACGATGTAGAATAACAATTAACACGTCAAACTTTCAGTGCTCTCTCGCAGTGCAAGAATACTGTTACGTATTTTTATTGTAATAATTTCTTTCTAACTTAACCAGATGTTCTTTGTATTTTTTTTCCAGCAAGTCTTCTTTCTTGCGAGCGTTATACTGTAAGCCGTTCCGAAAACGTTGACACGTATCGCATAAATCCGTTCTTGAATTCATAATTTGAATATATGGATGGTACCAGGCTTAGCTCGTACTATTGCCCTTACTACGATAGTTGTACAATTAAGACCTCAATTCATAAGCATTTTGTTTTACTCACTTCTTGGGAAGTAAATCTCGATGGCAATGATACCAACATTCTCTGGATATGATTTAGCCATTCTGATATAATGATTGAGAGAAAGGGGGGTGAGGTTCAGTTGATGGTACCTGGATGCTCTTGATACAACCCCGTGACTGTATCACATGGCATAGGTTTAAATACTCGCGTTTTTCAACCTCATACTAAACGCGTTACAATACAAGAAAGAATGGCAAGATTTCACAAAGTCAAATAATGGCTTTGATAGAAAGTATGCCGCGGAGAATAGAGACTGTTATTGCAAACAATGAGGGGCCAACAAAATACCGATTTATATAGTTACTTCATTGGTTAAAGAATTATCTGTTAAAATTTTATTATTTATAATTTTGTGTAATTAAAATATAAACTCCAGCGAATGATAAATCGTTTTGTTGTATCTAACCGTAGGCTTCGGACCGTAATACGTCTTCTTTATACACACTAGAGATAATGATCTTATATGACTCTTTCATATCTTTCCATGATTTCGGAAAGGGAATTTTCAATACAAAGGTAATAAATGCTTTTAAGTATTTGTATGTAGTCAAATCTATTCCTTTTACCGTCTACTTTTACTAATGGCCAGATCAATAAAGGTTAGAAGTAATTGCGGATTTATTTATATATTCTGATGTGTGTTTACAAACAACACGAAAATTATACACGCGTTTGTTCAAAACGAAAACAATGTTATATTGAAATTTGAAATATCATGATTATTATTATGTATAATTTTGTGTAATTAAATTTTTTCGATGTGCAAAACTTTAGTGTATGTATGTATTGATCATAACAATAATGATAAATTGCATCATAACATTATGTTAAGCGTGTATCTATATACAGTCAATTCTGTTTATAGCGGACGGGTTGGTATAGTTCTCTGTGTCCTTCCGGAACCGGTATATGGAAAGTTTATAAGAGACCCCGTTATAAACAAAGAATTTTCATATGAAACGAACGGTGCGCAAGAATCAGTCCATCCCGTACAAAGAGATTCCGGTACTTTCAAATCAAAATACAGAATGGGTATAAATCAAAAGACCAAAAATATTGTTATTATAAATTTTATTTTATTTCAGTGTCTTATTATTACATACCTTGAACTTCAATATCGAGAACTAGATTCAAAAAAGGTAGCGTTATCACGGGAATATTAATATAGTATACTTTACCGTACGATTCAGAAACGTTATTAATTAAACAAGGAGGTTCGATTTATCTTTAATAATGCGGAACGTCAAATCTACGATTTCGGATTCTTTCACCAACAATAAAAGTTTGGAAAAATTCTCCTCTTCCGAAGATAATAATTATTAATTTCGAAAAAGTCACTTTACTAAAGTATTCACAACCGTTTTATATAATCAACTGATTTATTCAAGTCTACTATATGACATCGTTGATAGCGATGACAATTATCAAGAGAATGGTTGCTTGCATTTGGGACATTTACAATATATAAGTTTTTTATATAGAATATGCAAGTAAGAGGATTATTAGAATCAACGAACTTCTCATTAATGTCACTTTTAACACAAATATAGCTTTTCTAATCAATTTCTTCTCGTTGCGACATCTCTTACATTCTTTGGACGGTGAGAAATATTGATTACATAAAATCGCCACAAGAATAAGTTTTATAGTAAATCCCTTTAACAGAGTCGTTGCATTTGATACAATAATAGTCAAGACTATCAGTTGGCAATATTATTCTCATATTTTGGACATGACTCGAACATTCTTCTTTTTCTTGCAAATGATGATATGTATATATTTATATTTATATTTATATTTATTTATTTATTTACAAATAATCAATTAAATTCATTTATTGACTAAAAATGAACATGTCAGAGTTACCATGTGAGTGAATAGTGAAGAGAGCGAAGACAATGAGATGGAGAGTAAGATTGAAAGTATGTGTAAGAGAGGGAGTGAATAACTTGAGCGCTTTTATAATATGTTCGGTGAGACTAGTCAAGTAAACATACTCCTCAAGAACTTATTGTGAAGAAGACTGAATTGTCATGTCGCAACAGTTTGTTAAGCTTACATAATTTTTGCAATAGACTTTAGAACGTCTCGGCTTGACTCGCATAATAGGAACGCGAGTTTCCTTGTGATCAACCTCAACAAAAGCAGCTGATATCCTGCCTAACACTGATTGAGTATGCTGTTCTGTTGTTGGATGTTAAGCGTTTGAAAGTACCCGTTTCAGAATATGTAGGCTGCAGCTTTCTTTTGCGAATGCGCCGGATTGTTATCGTGATCGGGTGCAATAAAACTGGTGTTCCAGTTTCAATTGTATTATTTGCACGTTTTTCCGATGCATGCTCCTTGTAACGTAGCATCTGATTCGTGGCAGAGAAATAGCATGACCTTGAGTCCATAATGACGGCATAACCCGCTTTGAAGCGGTTTTCATTGATTGTTTTATTGTCAGAAGAGGAGCAGGAACCATACATGGGTCCGAAGGGATCGATCCTCAGATGTTGAAATAGAGTGTTGGAATTGTGATCAATCATAATATCGACAAGTTGGATGATATTATTTCCATCCGGTTATATTTTGTCTAGAACATTGATGAGTCTTGAAAGGGGTGGTGTTCGACTGTACTTAATAATCTGATTCATCCTGCTGCTGCTGCTGGCTGCTGCTGCTATTATCGTCATCATCATCGTCGACCGTGTCAGGTGAGTCATACACACAGCGCATCTTCCGATGTGTCCTATGAACTGTTGAATTTAACGTCATAATTTGTAAAGCCACGTCCGATTGTTCGGTTAAGTCTCGAGACTCGTCCTTGCGACTGTGGAGGACGGCCATGCATTATGTTAATGTTTAACATTCCGATTCTTTTATACATTCGCCACTGACGTATGCGGCGTAGCACAAACTAATGAGAGACATACAGTATACCCGAATTGTTCATTTACTCCCACGGTTGGCATTCTTCAAAAAAGACAAGCGCGATGATATTTTCCTCTGGATTCAAATATCTTATTGATGTGATCTGATTTGACAGCATCGCAAAATACTGTAGTAGTAGGGAAGTTTTCTTGTGAAACAATAAATAGCTTATGGATACAAATCAATCGCAGTTAATCACAAACAATCGATCGCCGCTCGTTTCGACTATTCGATTTGCACATTTATATTACAGAAATGTCAACTACTGCATCTTCCCACATGGATGATCTGATGTCAAGGATACTCTCTGATGAATCAGTATTGCGAGTAAAAGACGTTGAAAACGTACGCAGGAAAATATCTAGGATACTTGAAGGAGGAGTAGAAAAGCTACATGTAATTAGTGGTAAACGTCGTAAATGTCGGCAATTTGTAATGCTACATAGTTGTTGGCGAATGAGCATTGATTCAGGTAAACTGCAATTATAGACTTCGATTCGACAATGACACGACATTTTAGGGAGGACATGTCTCGTAATCCAACCTGTCATCAGGTTCTGTCTTCAGGCAGGATGATGAGCCCAGAGGTATAAGGCTTTCGATCTGCTAAAATTAATACGAGCATCTGCTCAGTTTATCACTTTATACTCATCAGTTAATTGTTCCCTCCACTAATCAGTTCAAGCGAGCGACTGAAGAACTCTATAAAAAGTATTTCCCGATAGAAATGGACACCTCTCTGACTATTGAAGAAAAAATGCCCTATATGGTTGAATGGTGGAGTAAAGCCCATGAACTAGTAATCGGGCAGAAGCTTACAAAAAATGATATCAAACAGATGCTTGTGGATACGCCGTCAAAATTAAGGGAAGGCATGGCCGAGTTAATTATACAATGTAAAGAAAAGAATATTCCGTTGCTGATATTCTCGGCTGGAGTAGGCAGTAAGTAATTGGCATTCGCATCCACCCATATATGATCCCAAGATATTAATTGACCCTGATCGGACTTACTCTTGTAGACATTATTGAAGAACTCTTGCAAACGAACAATCTTCTCTTTCCGAACATGCACATCATATCTAACGTGATGCAATTTAACCCTGAAACAGGCATCTGTGATAGATTCAGAAAACCAGAGATTCACGTATTCAACAAGTCGGAAGTAACCGTTCGAGATCTGCCGTATCATGATACAATTGAGAACCGTCCAAACGTAATTCTGCTCGGTGATTCCGCTGGCGATCTACAAATGTCCAAAGGCATCTCCCATGAAGTTTGTCTGACAATTGGGTTTCTTAACTTGGAAATAGAAAAGAGACTGGATGCATTCATTGAGTTGTATGATATTGTGGTTTTGTATGATGGAGCGGCAGATGTTGTTAACTGGATTTCGGAGAAGCTATGAGAATAATAAATAAGAAGAATAATTTGGGATTGCTGATGGGTGCCAAAGATATTTGTGAATGTGTGACGGTAAGGGATTGTTTGTAGTTCCATTTGTCTACCTGGAAAGCAAGGAGGATGCGTGCAAGAGTTCAAGACTTTTTTTGTCTTACATTTCTATGCAACAGCTCCGTTTTAGATCTAATGCAAGTTTGAAATTGATTGCATTGCTCCACTAAGAAACAACAAAGATTTGTAGTCTTATGCAGGTTGTTCGCGTTTATACTTCATACAAGTCACAAACACTGTTTGTGAATAAGTAGATAATATTGCTAAAAGATTATTGTTAATGGATTGCCCATTCAACGTCGAAATACCACAGTTAAGCCTAAACTTCGAATCCTCTTTCGTCGTATCATTTTTTTATCGTCACATGATACATAATCCCACAATTTGTATACTTTATATATTTTACGCTAATGGCGTTCAGTGAATTGCTCAAGCAAGATAATAACACTTCATCGGGACAGAGTTCTTGTACTGTGTTCTCTGTGCTTTTCGCACTTGCTGAGAGAAATTCACGACGCTGGGCACTTTGGCGGAGATCCCAATGATTACCAGAGAATCAGCACTGTGAACAGAATACGAAAACAGGCATGCCGGTGAATTATGGTGGATTCCTGCTGATCATTCATCGATTCTCGATAACAATTCGATAGGATGAATCATTAGCTTACCAGTTCAGCGGTATAAACTGGGCTTATTTCGATATTTATCATTACTTAAAATAAGTGTGCTCCTTGGGGTATGCCGTATAGAATTGAGCAACAAAGACAAACATAGAGAACTCTTGAATATTGAAAAATGTCTTTAAGAAGAAGCAAGAAATATTGTTGTTTGACCGCACGAACGAAGGAATTATAGTTTCATTATGTAGAGAATGATTTTGTAAAAGTTCGAGCATTTGCCAACGAGATTAAGGCAAGAAATCATGTAGCAAGTCCTCGAACATGAAGAGACCATTGCAAAAATACAATGTTTAGAGAATGCGTGTATCAGTATGATAGCGCTTTGTAATAAATTTGTCTTGTTTATTGTATTACCCTTATCGTTCATATGTCAGTATTCAACATATGATTATTTACTTATTACCCATCGCCATGTTTATCGTTGTTTACCATAACGCGCGAGAACGGACAGATTGCAACTGTAAAAGAGAATTTACATTGTTTATTGTCATGATGTATTTCAATATCAAAAAAAAGTAAAATTCTAAATTCCGACGATGCTGATAAATCTTAATTGCAATTGGAACATTATTATAATTAGCATTAATATTAATAACCCTCATCCTTCATAAGCATTTGAATACTATACTCTAATCCACCAAAAACAAGGTGGTATTAACAACAATGTTGGTCAGTTATTTGAAAAAAACAGAATTATATGACTGTGACTATATGTTTGGTAGATTATTAATATCAACTGCGTAACCTTACTTACTATTTTACAACTTATCATTATCGCAAGCCAATGAACCAGCACGTGTTTTTAATATACGCATCTATACAACTGATTATACAAAACCTTTCATGCTTGCGCCACAATTTTCTTGAATCGTCATTTCATTTTTATAGTTATATGTCTTGAGCAATCAAATAAGCATGTAACTGTCGAAAAACAGAGCAAAAATTTCGGATTTGCGTTCGGTCAAAGAAGTCTTAGTCCAACTTGCAAGTATACGAAATTAGACCAATATAGAAACACACTGCTATCAGTCTTAATGACGCTAATTCGCACAGAAGTTATCTCTTCTATCTATCCGTAATTCATACATTCACAATTTTTGTTATCGCTGAATTTTAATACGAAATTTCTCGCCTAGATTTCCGATTTCCATTAGAAATTCACCATTCTTCTACGCTTACATCTGTTGCACAGTCTGCTTGTTCTTTTGTCAAACAACAAAACAATTGGGCACAAAGCCCGATTATAGTTGTAGCTAATGAACCAAGAATTCCTATCACTATCCATTTACCTGCTCCTGCTAAACTTGTATGACTAATTCCAACATATATGCCATAAACTGCGAAACCTGAGGCAATCATAGTTGCTAAAATCCCGATGCATTGTATTAATGATATCCAACGCCTCATTTAATTTATGTATTATTGCAAAATTTATCAATCTGCTTTATAAATCCCCCAAAAAAATCGTGGAATGCGCGAGAAAGGATTAATTGCTTTTTGGAGTTAATGGCGAGAAGATTTCGTTAATATTCGTTCCGAACTATAAGATTGAGAAAGCGGACACCCCGAAAATCAACGAACCTTTATACGTGCCGAGCTTTTACCGGGCTGTTTTTGCGTCAATGATCGACCCGGGTTCCCTGCCCTGTTTCTTATAAAAGGTAAGACTAACAACCCAGATGGTTATGCATGAGTTCTTAAAACTTACTAGAAGCGCTCGCTATTCTATTCTCATTGGACAAAGAACGTATTCTTTTTCGAGAAAATAGATGCTCCATTCATAAGAAAAACAAATCAACAGACCACAAACCAACAAACAAAAAGACCCCCAATGGATAGGCAGCTGTATGGTTGATTATGTTGTCTCTGTTGGCTGTACAAAGCCCCAGATCAGAGATGTGACGTCGACAAAGCGTATCAACAACAAGGAGCGAGCCTTAATAGTATACCTGCGGTTGAAAGAGGTAAGTTCGATTGATAGGGATGTCTTGTGAAATCGAAAGGGTATGAATTAATATAAAGGTTACAATAAGTTGTGTAATGTCGTTCAAATTATATCCAACGAAGGTGATTCCACGATTAGGTCAGTACAGAAGGAAACAAATAAACAAACCATAAACAGAGGGCTAAAATGTTCTGAACACTCTCATTATCAGAATAATTATTAAAAACGGACTTTTGTGTGGCAAATACATCAACAAGACAGAAACTGACCATAGTTAATGGACGATAAAATTCAATATTAATATGCTATGATTGGTAGTACAATAGTTTGTTTATTTCGCAAATTATTAAGCTCTAAATGGTTAGCAGCATTATGTATTTATATACTACTATACTGTTTTCTCTATTCTATTGAGATTCTTTTTATTGTTGTGGAATACTCACCACTTATATCATCGAGATGGGTGTACACCAGCGAGCAATTAATTAACCAGAGTCGTACTGACATGTCGCACGCGTCAATTATAACATAAAAACGTAGATATATAAGAAGCGCGACTTTCTGTTAGACTTTAGTTCTTATAATTTATAATAAGAGTACGCTAAAACACATATTTAATTATTCGATATAATTGTAAATCATTAATCCCATATCGATTAGGACTTGTCCCGCGAATATTCTCATTGCATTGCGATTGCCATATCCTCCCAATTTTAAGCACCACCCGACTTTTGGGAAAAACAAAGATAAGCACCATCTTAATTTAAAAGAGGTTTATTACAGTGAAATTCACTTTCACGGTAGTTGTTCAATTAAGACTGAATTCTAATCTACAAGTGGCCTATTTTAATTAAGTTGCGCGCTTCTTAACTCCTTATCCGAGCTTCAATCACTCGTGATTCACACACAATAGAATAATAACAACATATTTTTAATTAAACAGGACTTTCTTCGATTTGATAATTCGACTAGTCGGGTTCTGTCACTTGTCTCTTACAAACTAATTAAATAATGTTCGTTTCTCGTTCCTCAATTAAGAGTACTAGATTAGCGGACAACTTATACAGCTTAAATGAGCCATATAGCTTGAGTGAGGCCGTTTGTTAGTGTGTCCGGTCAAATAGTCAATATTCCAACGATAAAAGAAAGTAAAATTTCGATTTCGAAGGGAATCGTTTATTTGATATTTATTTCCGTAGAATAATGCTGTTATTGAACCAACAACATTAACAATATGAACAACATAAACAACGATCCGCTTATATATCTAGCGTTGCCCAAAATGCGAAAAAGGCAGCATCAAAAATTCTTTTAAAGAACCCATAAATCTAAGTTAGCTATTGGCGTTTGTTTTTTCTTCTGCATAATATTTCCAAAAACTCTCTTGCGTAACTTGTTTAAAGTTTGCAATTCCATATTTAACTTCTCTTGTTTTCATGTATAACAAAAGACTGTCAATACTAGACATAGACGTTTCTCTATCTTTAGTACGAGAGTTTATTGGAAGTTGATTCCAGCATCTTTGATATTAAGCAAGTGTATTATAAAAGAAGGGAGGCAATCATTTCGTCGACAATCATTCCGTCGACAAATCTTCACCAACATTATTTCGAAGTTATCCTTTTTTGGTAGTTAATTGTCGGTAAAATGTACTGTCGGTGAAATAATTGTCGATGACCCATAAAAGAACACAATGAGAGAAATGCTTTTGCAGATTGAAAGATTGAGACCATTGTTTAAACAAACTTCACTATATTATAATGAACCTCGTTATACAAATAAATTCGCCCAAATGAACGGTTTTATAATGCATGGTTTTATGAAAACTTCGTTCAACGTTATATAGCACTTAACTGGTTCCAGAAAAATACTTTGTTATAAGCCATCTTCGTTCAAGTAAGAGTTTGTTAAAGTGAATTTCACTGTGTATTCCGCGTAAATTTGATTTATCAATATTCTTAGGGTGGGCACAGCCTACTGATATACCATGCGGAAGTATTTTAAGGGTTTTGAGAAAGGTGTCGTAAGTACAATTGTTTATCATTCAAATCAAATGATAATCAGAAGGTTTTTATCATCATTTCCTTATTTTTCTTTCATGTCGCTCAGATATCGGAAAACAAACCCATTTACGTAAGATGAGATAATCCTAAAATAGAAACGACAGCGCTGTATAAATAAACATACAAACTCCCACTGTCAAGAAATTGTCCACATTTCAGCGTTTCGCTGATCATCAAGAGCACCACGTTTGATATTACCAGAAAAGGCTTGGGAGGAACAAAAAATGCGTATACGCGTTCTTATCTTCATACACTATGACAGACAAACTCGAGAACCAAACGCGTGAGCTTATAAAAACTTTCAACAAACTGTATGTTTTTTATCTGAAGTAGTTATAAACTTGATATTGCGCTTGCTAATGAGTCTCGTAACGATTGCGGCTTTAATTATAGCGAAAAGTGCAACCAATTTCTCATGTTGCTAATGTGGAGAAGATGGGGAAATGTTATTATATGGACAGAAACTATTATAATTGACCATAGTACATATGTAATAACCCTTTTCTTACTTTGGAGGTTTGTATTAAGATTCATAATCCAAAAGTTACGCACATCATTTATCCACAATACATCCTGACGTTCTACGTATTCATCATTCGTTGATAGACTCTCCTCATCACGAGAAGGCAGAACATTTTCAGGTCCTGATGAAATGGATTGGGTTAACGATGTAAACCTACGCGTACTTGTGGTAGTATACGAAAAATGTCAGAAGACAAACCGATCTCAATGACGATGCGGTGTTATTTGAAAGCATTGAGCGGTTCAGTAATGTCCTACTTTGAAATAAACCCAAGAAAGCAATTCCGAAGAAGCTGCAGAAAATTTTAACCTTGTAAGTAATTGAAGAATGAACGACAAAATAAACGATTGGATGTAATGTTTATCAATTTTTTAGATATCCGTAAAAGATCTCGGAAAGGCACTCTCTGGAGTCAATATTGACTACTGTACAATAATTTAGATCAGAATATTGCATCGTCTTTTTGGAAAATTGGTATGATTTCGTCGTGAAAGTCGGAAAGTAATTACTGATAGCTTCCAAGAGCAGGAAAGGGTGGTATAACAGCCACATCGTAGTCATGATCGAAATTATGGTAAGATGCAAGTTTTCAATTGATTTTTCAACCTGTGGATTGTCATGAGTCAATAGATGAATGTATTATTTGATGATACTTGTTAAGAATATGTTTTATGCTAAGAATTTATTCTGATTTAACTGCGCTTATTAATAAGAATTTGTCTGCTATTACTATAGAACTACTCAAAACTTCCTGATGGTATCCATGGTGTTGAGCTGGGAGTTGGTGAAAACTCTGGTCCGAAACAATGGATCATACCAATTTAGGGTTTATATATATATATAAGTGGTAAAGGCTGCCTGGACAAATTTCATGTCTTGTACAGCATAAGTATGGATCAAATTGACTTCCAGACATTCCAATAGAAAGACTCAAGTCTGTGTTTATTGTTGCATTCCAAATTGTGGGTTTGTGCATCCATTTGCACTTGTAGAGATAGGGTGTGTACATTTACCACACTCACTGGATACAATACATGATGCACTAGATGTGTGCAAGTTGATGCTTCTATTATCTAGAGGCAAAGGGAAAGTCTTGACAAAAACTTATCTCCATCAAAATCAAATATACATCTGGGGTGCCAAGGATGTTAGTTGTGGGAGTCAGAAAACACCAGATGTGATGTGAACAATACTAATACCTGCATGCTGAGGATCAGAATATACATATTGGAACAACTGTTACAGATCATTCACTGCAGTGATGAAATCTTGTACCATAACCACCAATTCCCCATTTGGGTCCTCTCCCTAGTGACACTAATGTAAGTCACAGTTAATATTATATTATTATTATCTTTATTTTTAAGCAAATTTCTTAACAATATTATACTTGCATAGGGTTATGCTCATGCAAGGATCATTTGTGGGGTAGCAAATGCCCAAGGGGTCAAGCACTGGAACAAAAGTGCAAAACTTGGATGCTTGAACCATATGTTTGCTGTGTGTTTGGCATCAAACTTTTCCCTAAACAGACTGAGGATAAGGGAACAACCATTCACTGACAAAGGATGTGTGTACTGTAAGTTAAACTTTTGATTCTGCAAAAAATGTGAGACCCCAATTTATACCTCTGAATCCATTGCTGAATCCACCTCAGTTAAGAAGGCAACTTACATATATTGCTTACAATATATATATGAATGTCCTAATATTCCTGCATCCCCACTTTGGGAGAAATGGTGGTATGTGAAACAATTATAACCTATTTATATGACTAACATATCACCAAATAAAGAGTGCTAACACTAACTTGTTTCAAGCATTTCACTTACCATTTTATACTCTTTTTTCAAGCCCATACACTTGGTTGGACACCTTACAAAAACCATGACAAAGAGAAATAATTGCCGAGTTCGTAGAACCTTTCAGGTGTGTTTTTGCACGCGTTTTTTATTTAACTATTTAACTATTTAACTATTTAACTATTAATATAATTACAATACTTAAAGCCTGGTGTAGAGAAAAATTGAAGAGAAAATTTCAATCCCTTGGTTGGACATTGAATATCCAATACTCGATGGTCTTAAGATTTGTTAGCCATGATAGAGGCTCACTTCAAGCGCGACAATTACAAACAAATCCAAACCTATATTGGATGCCATATGGTGTAAGGCGAATGCATGTTATGGGAGGGATTCTCCGCTATTACTATTACATAGCCTTTATTAATTTTATAAATCCTTCTTAACTCTTTGTATATCAAAAATCTTTATATTGTGCACCATTCTATCCATTTCGGCAAAAATACATATTTGCGATATTAAAAACATGCGTCATTTAAAAATCAATCGAAAAGCATAATTCTTTATTATATTTTTCGTAAGAGACTAAAGACAATCAAAGATGGCGACATGCATCATCAGGGACTGCAGCAGTGAAAGGACTAACGGAAATGGCCTAAGTATTTTCCTGAACTATATTTGTTGCTTGACTCTTTAGAAAGTTACTCTCTATGTGAAAGACATTACAACCAGATTATCGTCAAAAAGGTCTTTTATTAAACAAATACCGTATTTTCGGGTAGTTTTTTTATTGTAATAATAATAATAAAATAATCAATAGTAACTTATTTTCGGAACAGCTATCCATTCAGCACGTACAAAAAAAAAACTACGATCACATGCCAGACCTTTGACAAATATTCACGTGATTATCACCATATAATAATTTTGCGCGTACTAATTGTGTAATCCCTTTTTCTCGATTTTACGTTCTTAAAGAAGATGCCAAAAAAACAAGGAAAAAAACAAGGTACTATGAACTTTCACACGTCATACACATGCAAACTCGATAAGTCGGTTTCTCGATGGTTCAATTTTGGTCAAAGCTTCCCAAGCCCTTTTCTCAGTTTTAATATTTAAATCTCTCGATAAGTCGGTCCATCATGCATGACCGACTTATCGAGTTTGCATGTGTAATATATTAACTGACCTCTTTTGACATTTTATTTGATTAAAATATAGTTAAACGCAAGGAAAACAAACCAATAAAAAAGGTAGCATGCATGAAGTGAAGAAGATGAAGTAAGTATTTTTCTCCAGTTGCGAAAGAAATCACGTATTTAATCAGTATTTAATCTAACCTTTTATTCTTTATAATACAGGAACATCGCCAGAAACTCATCAAATGTGCCGAGAGATATGCTGAAGCTCGACAAATAGTTCTATCTATTCCGGGTACCTCAGTCATCGAAGATATCCAATATGCGATGTGTCTTATCAACGAGGAACGTAAGGCCAATACCTGGCCAGATAAATTCAAGCAAAAATATGATTTATCACTTGCAGAATCTCCAATAAAGTAGGATCAATCGTCTTTTTGTTTTGTCTTTTTACTTTTACTTTAATTTTGCATATTTACTAGGGAAGCTTTAGTTGCGGCCAGAATCCTGGAAGAATTTTCAGACTTAATAACAGTTTTACATCGAGATCTTAATTACGATTGGTGCTGGGCCGTTAATCAAACTGGAATTCTTAATAAGGCTATAGGATATGATAATAATCTTGAAGAATGCGACTCTATGGAAGGTTTGTACACCAAAAAGTGTATTTGATGTTGAAACTGCTTGACAAGTCACTTCAATACTTAAATTCCTGATTTGAAGCTTAGACCTGATGTGAAATTAGCGGTTTAAACTGCCAGCTTTTAATAGTGTATGGTAAATGCTTGCGGGATTTTATCTAGATCTAAAGAACACTCATCCAGAAGTGTAAGAATACAGTCGCTGCTATTGGCACAAGATTGCCACCATCGGATATGTAATTCTTAATATACTGTTTAGTCTTATCTGTAATATCCTCAACTGTCATATTTTTCCAAACACGTCCAAGAACTCTCCATTGCCGTCCATCAAAATAAAAGAATATTGAATGATCAACCAAATAGTCTTCTCCCTCTTTTACAACTAAAGTAAACGCGGTAGGCTTTTGCTACTTTGGCAACTTGTTCAAGCGTGCCTGTCAGACCAACCATATCTTTGTGAAAGTCTTTAAAATTTATATGCAAGTTAGTGTTACGGTCGGATGGTCTTGGGTTTGGGAGAACAATTAATCTTTCGCGTAGGATGTTCTTCCGACCGGGGGTTATTACCAGATTAGCTGCCCTTATTACGGTAGTTGTTCAATTGAGTCTGAATTCTAACTTATTTATATAATTAAATTAAATGCGCTTCTCAACTCTTCAAATCACTCGTGATTCCAAATAAGGGTACCCACAATAAAATAACAACAATTATTCTATTGCGGGAATAAATTCCATTCAATATTAAACAGGACTTGTCTCGAACTAATTAAACAATTTTCGTTTCAATAAATAATTATTGCTCTCGTTCCTCAATTAAGAGTAATAGATCAACGGACAACTTATACAGCTTAAATGAGCTTGAGTGAGCGTGCTAGCGCTAATAACAGGACTTTCCTCACTATCATCTATGTCGTCTACATCCGTAATTGCTTGATCAGTATCCTTAAAGAGATATACAAGTTTGTCGGGAACTTTGTGAATAATATTCTCTTCAGCAACTATTTACGACAATTATTTATTGTAATATTGTGGCATCTTCGCTTAATTTGGAAAATGTGATTTAAATTTTACTATTTTACTAAATATCTTATGTCAAATGTATTTACAGTTTTGTAAGCACGAGTATATTTACTAGTACTAATAAGTAAACTTGTACAATTATATCTGGGACTCAAAATCGCTTACATGGAGAATGTGCACTTATGGAGGAGGTGTCTCTGTATGTTAATCGTTTCATGCCAATCAATCACGTGAATATAGTGAAATCACATTTTAGATGGATATTACACGAATCACTTTTTTTTTCATAAAAAAATTTCAGATCGAAACCTAAATTTCGTTTATTACCCATTCGTTACTAGCCCATCTCTATAAATGTGGAGAACAGTTGGTGAGAGATTCTATTTATCAACGGCTCAAGTGCATTTTCGATCTATATGATTTTTAACGTTTATTCTTTGCACGAGATAGGTCAAAGGAGTGCACGTGTGTTCCCCGTACGCCAGCCTCGAGTAAGTCATTTCTCTTCCCACACATCTTTTTCCATACGGCTGATCCTAACATAATGCTCCTCTATAGAATTACCAAATTATTTGTGGCAATTCCGTTCGACAGAGCAGAAATTTCTTGTTGCAAAACGAATTCAGGTTTTATACAACAGAACCAAAATCCGTAAAGTCGCAAACAAAAGCGAAGACTCGGTATGCAATAGGGGTACGACAAACATTAGTAGCATCCCCTTCTCCTTCCCCCACCCCATTTGTGCTTTTCCCTTTTGATTGCAACACTAAAACGAGCCAATATTTGCAAAGATTATTGATTGTCTTCTCCATTGTTGAATTTAATTAGCCTTTCACATGGAAAAGTTTGATACTTTTTGTTGCGACTGGTGCTGGGTTGTTGTATCACTTCAGATTAGAGAAAGAACGAATGGAAAAACGTACGAATGGACATTGAGTGTCTTTAGGTTGACCTCTGTATGATTTTTGGATGATTTTTACAGATATTCATATCTGTAGACGTGAAAAAAAAAACAAAACGATCGTAAATGGTTTTATTGATTGTTGATGTATGCGTTTCTGCCTAATTCTTTTTGATCAGAAAAAGAAGAGCAAAAGAAACAACCAATAGGCAAACCAGATGTCGGCGGACCGTTCGAGTTACTTAATCAAGATGGAAAGCTCACGACTAACAACGATTTTCGCGGGAAATTCATGCTTGTATATTTTGGTTTTACGCATTGTCCCGATATCTGTCCCGAAGAGCTAGACAGGATGTCTGAAGTCATTGATCGGCTATGTAGGTATTTGGGGACTGCGTGTGGCAAAGTTCGCGTGTTACCAGTAAGATTGATTTTGTCTATGTCGTGGGCTAAGTCTACTCTAATACGCTTGTCCAGATAATGATAACGAAGTGGGTAAAGTAATAGTTCCCATTTTCATTTCTTGTGATCCTCAGCGTGATACCGTAGAAGCAGTACGCGAATATCTAAAAGGTAAGTTCATGTAACGAGCTTCTAATTCCCAACGCGATTATCTTCCACATGTCGTTCTATCACTAACTTGCATATAATTTTCAAAGACTTTCACAAAGATATGGTTGGTCTGACAGGCACGTTCGAACAAGTTGCCAAAGTAGCAAAAGCCTACCGCGTTTACTTTAGCCGGCCGCCTGATGTAAAAGAGGGAGAAGACTATTTGGTTGATCATTCAATATTCTTTTATTTGATGGACGGCAATGGAGAGTTCTTGGACGTGTTTGGAAAGAATATGACAGTTGAGGATATTACAGATAAGACTAAACAGTATATTAAGAATTACATATCCGATGGTGGCAATCTTGTGCCATTAGAAAAGAAGACAAAATGATTGGTGGTAAGGGAATACGATACGCTTTTCCTCAATACTTTGGCGAGTAGCCTATAGGATTGTTGTTAATTGGCGTGCCATTGAACTAATATTGTTCAGCCTGATCGCCCACAAAACGACTTAGCAAAACCGACCTAACATAGCAGCGGCACTTCTGGATGAGTGTTCTTTAGATCTTAGATAAAATACCGCAAAGCATTTATCATAGGTTGGGAAACGCTATTAAAAGCTGGCAGTTTAAAACGTTAATTTCACATCAGGTCTTGTCTGCTTTTTGCTCGAAGAGAGACACATATGCAGTATTGTTAAGTTATTAACAGATGCGACCGAATACCCTGTAACGGTCTGTACATGACATGGAACTGCGAGAGACAAATATCACTGTAATTGCTATATTACGAAATATGGATGTATACGTGTCATATCTGGACTCTGTCGATGATTGTTAGAATAAATCGTTCAAGTGATTATATACCACATGCTGCGATTGTCCGTCTCGGCTTTTAGCCTCAAAAACTGAATTAGTATTAGTTCTCTTAATCCGAAAGGATATCGAATAGTAGATGAACAATAAATTGATCTGGCCAAGAAAATTAGCCATAATAATAAAAAAGTTAGTATTAAGGAGACGTCTATTTCTGGCCAATAGCATACGATTTTAACCCAAGTCCGAGTTTGTACCAACTCTGTAACTCCCTTCTCTACTCGCAGCACACACTAGGACATAATATACGAAATGAGCAGGCTCGACAGTATTGATCGTTTCATAATGCATATTGATTAAAACGCGTGCATGCGGTTTATTGAGCTTCGTTTTTAATAAATGTCATTCTCTCCCGATTCAAGAGAGTTTATTTCAGCTTAAGGTGTGTACATGTAATGCCTATGAATATGTTTAATATACACCTGATTCATTAACATATATATAATGTTAGTTTACGGCAAAGGCGCTTAATCGTCAAGCTAAGAAAGCCACTAAAGATGAAGCTACCGAGAAAGCAAAACTTAAAAAAGTGTGTCTTCCATTCTACGTTGCAATTGTCTTTTCTTTTCTTTTCCATAAATTCCTTGAATACAAATCAGTATATTTGCAGGCTATACAACAAAGCGACGTGGAGAGTGCTCGTATATATGCGGCCAATGCCATTCGTAAGAAGAACGAAGCTTTGAATTTGACAAGGTTGTCTTCGAGGATCGATGCTGTTGCAAGTCGAGTGCAGACAGCAGTGACTATGCAAAAGGTCAGACGATTTTCGATTATGATGACACTTTATTGTAGTATCCTGCATTAAATACCATTACGTGATCATCTTAGGTTACGGGATCGATGGCAAATGTGGTAAAAGGCATGGACAAAGCAATGGAGTCTATGAATCTCGAGAAGGTATGCCGTTGACAAAGCCATTCCAACTGTTTCAGGAATATTTATTATAGTACGGTTATTACCCACGCATTATTCTAATACGGATCCCTTATACCCTCTTTCTCCTCTTCTCATCAATAAACACAGATTTCGATGGTAATGGATAAATTTGAATCACAATTTGAAGACCTCGACGTACAAACGCAATACATGGAAGGTGCTATGGGCAATACTACTACTATGTCGACACCTCAAGAAGATGTTGATCTCCTTATGCAGCAAGTTGCAGACGAGGCTGGGCTGGAGTTAAGTCATGCTCTGGGTGAAGCCGTCCCAAGTAGCATTCTTGGCTCTGCAGATAAGACCAGTGAAGAGGATAAAGATTTGACAGAAAGGTCAGTTAATGCTAAAGAATGTGAGAAAGATTTGGAAGAACAGAGGCAAATAGTGAGAAGACGAGAGTAGTTGGTGGATCGAAATATATTTGATAACCCAACCCATTATCTGTTCATATTGTAGATTGAAGGCATTAAGAAATCTTTAGCTTGGCTTTCCCTCCCGATGGATTTTTTTTTTCCTTTCATTTTACTTAGAGGTTTGATTGTATTTATGACCTGAATTGAATACTTGGGAATAGAATTAGACGAATTCATGGTTTGTATGATTTAAAACATGGAAATTTCTAATTGGCTATAATTTGAGACTGAAGTTATTGCAACCGGAACATCATTCCTAAACTGATAGTACATAGTTAAAAGCGAGGACGAGTGGAATACTACTAAAGTGTCTACAAGCTGTAAACTTTTTTGTAAATATTTCCATTACCTCGTGTAACAGTATAATGAGTTATCCGACTTTCTGCAATAAACCATACGATGTGAACGCGAAAGTTTTCTTACTACAATGCAATTATCGGGGACACTTGTAAGTCGCACAGTTTCAAAATTGTCAGTCTCACATTTTTATTTACACTAGTCAAACTACCATAAACGCTTTGAATGCAGTTCTAGTTAACGTGTGTATTAGTATAGGAATATTGTCATTGAAACCAGTACAGAGCTTTTCCTGAGGTACACACCTAATAAATATGCTTCTATTAAAGCATTCCTGGAATGCAATGAGATAACATTACTTGTAAGCAAGCTACTGCGGTTGTTGATGTATTGTACAAAGGATCATGTACATGAACGTCTTGTTGTCCTCACGGTTAACCTTGGCCCAAAATATTAATTGGCTGTTAACATGATAATAACGCTAAACATATTACAAGGAGTGGTGAAATTAATCAATCTTTTATCAAAGGACGCGTAAATTTAATAAATCATCTACTCTTCAATTAACAGTTATTTTCGGTTGTTGTTCTAATAATAGTTTTATGCTTCTGCGTCATACGTGCTAATCTATGCCAGCTTACGGAAGTTCGATTAACATTTAGCTGCGCTTTAGTTTCAGGCCAGAGGAAAAGAATGACATCTCCCAATAGTAAGGAATGTCAAGAGTTCGAGACTATGACATCACTTGGAATCTTTACGTTCACGTTGATTTGTTTATGATATGTTGAGCCACCTCGCCCTCGTGCTTGAAAGACTATTTCGTGATTAACATCTATTTTTAATTTTTGTGAAATTCGTCGTGTTTCTAATAGGATCATAATAGAAATTCATGTGGATATTAGTATTGTTTATGTTCTTTCGGTGTAACGTTAACGTTATTAAGAAGCCGGGATCTGCGTCAGTGACCATCTCTCTCAACTCGTATACAACACGTCTCTAACGACATTCAACATGTCTAGCTCTAGTTTTGGTTCAGGAGGACCTAATTCTCAAAGTCAGCCCAAATTAGTGTTCTGCCATGGCTGTAAGAAGGATAAGCCGCAACATACATTCTCCAAAACTCAGTTGGCCAAGCACATGTCCAACTTTTCCAATCGTTAGTATCTGGGCATAAGACACTGAATATACGTCATCGTCGTTAGGCTAAATCGCTGATATATCGAGTATAGACGCGATGCTGTGGAGATGATATTCTTGTGTTTGTGAAAGATGTATATTTCAGTGGATATGATACCGTTTTCTACACGACTTGACCTGTTATTTTTTGCGTGTTTTTACTTCTCTTAGAGTACGCTCCGAAAGGAAGGACCACGAAAATACATCATACGATGTGTAAACAATGTACCCCACAACAGAATTTGAAGCTAACTTGTATGCTATGCACTCGAACCAAACCACTCGAAGATTTCGCCAAGGTAAAGCCAATGATCCATAGTAACTGATACAGGATATAGTAATTAATAAGCACTGTGTGCGTTGGTTGATGTGTGATCGTATTATTAATAGGCACAGCGGAAAAACGCGGAAAAAGCAAAATGTTTAAGCTGCATGAAGAAACGCGAAAAGCAAGATCTCACGGATAGTGAACCGGACGATGACTCTGAGGGAGAGTACAACGACACATGGGATGACATTCTTTAGATGCGTTAAACGACGAGGTTCGTGACAAACATGACATTTTTATGAACTTTATTGTGAAAAGACGAACATATATTGATCTGTTCGTTGGTTGCTTCTGATTGTATTATTGTTGCCAGTTGTCTAGAATTCATCCATCGATTATAATCATTTGTAAACTCGTAATAAATGAGGAAGTGAATTTTATATTTATATAAAAATGCCATGTTTGTCTTCATTGCCAATAAACAACCTCACCCAAGCTTTATTAAATTTGGTTAAATTATTAAACGATAATAATATGTTACCTTGTTACTGGTTCATGGAACCGGATAATCAATTAGCTATTTCTTTAGTGTTAAAGAAGGAGCGAAATCATTCAGTCTCATACATAACAACGACATAATATCGACACATGTGAAATACGTTTACTTAACTGCAAAATGTAAATCCCAAGTATCTAGCCATGTTATGCTTTTTACTTCTTCTACACTTAGGCCTGGAGTTCCGTATGTTATTGGAGCGAAAAACCAGAATGCCACTGCTGTCGCTCCAATTAATAAACCTGCAACGGGATAGGATGTCCATGGAACCAATGCGTGCAGAACCTGACGAGCCGGTTTCTTTACCAGAGGGGGGTATGAGACGGGATAATTAACCGAATCAACAAACATGAAATTAAACATGGCAGCTGCTACAAGATAAGAACATAGTAGCGCAGGGAGATAGTGATGGAGGAAGAGTGATCGCCCCATTAAAAAGAATGGGCCGTAATGGAGCAGCCATGCCATCACGAAGAATCCTGCAGAGTTGTAGAATCTATTTCTGACAGCTAAAGAACATGAATGCAATAAGCTTTTATATCCGTTATAAATGGTGACATCAAGACATTATTACTCACGTGGATGTAGCGGTGCCATTCCTCTTCGTCGCGAAATAATTTCTGCTCCAATAATACCAATAAATACAGAAATCGCTCCTATGCTCAGCCACCAAGTGAGTGGATTTCCAATTAAATAAATCTGCGATCTACTATCATTTTTTGTCCAAAACGATATTCCACGAACCAAAAATGGCCAGTTTATTGGAGAGCTTGCGTATGGGTGGGATTTAGTAAGTCCAGAGTTATGAGCAATCATAAGCCGTTGGAGTTCGAAAAATTTATAAATAAAAGGTATTTCTTTCGGAGGTTTCTTGGACTCCCCGACTTCAGTCACTGGGGAAATAATTAAATAGATTAGAAAGGCGATAAAGTAGAAGGGATTCCCGAATCTTAAAAGATATGTTTTAATTATTGCGTTTTACCATTCTTCCCGACAATTTCGTCGACGTACCAAAGATTACTCTTTTCAACATTATTCTTGTTTCCATTAACTTCTTGTTGTTTAAACGCCCACTGGGGCAAAGCCTCCTTATGCGTCCATAGTGCAACCTTTGTATCAAAATGTAGCAGTCTTGTATAACTAGCTTTACTCTTCCATACAGTATTTGACTCTCCTTTTTCAATCAATACTTCGAATACTGTCTCGTTATATCGGGAGTCGTTATCGGCAGGTATTGTAGTAAATTCTTGATTAGTGGGCATCAGTGGGGACGCAACATCGTGCGTTAGGAGATAAGTGCGAGTGTTTATGTGTTCTAAACGGATGTGGTCGCCATGCTTGATAGTATCGTTCGATGGTCGATCGGCTGAATTAAGGAAGGGGATAGCTGGCTTCACGATCCAGTGATTATTGCTATCTTTGTGTGGATATCCCGTTACTTGCTGTCCTGGAGACAATATATATATTAAAGAAGAGAATAGTAGAGGGTGAGGATGAGGATGAGACATCACAATAAAAAAGTCTCATTCATAGTGACCAGCAGACGTAATTGCTATTAAACAATTACCTTGACTGCTTATCCTCCCGTCTTCGTATCGTAAAGGATATTTTTCAGAATGCGAATGTAGAAATACTGAAGTATCCTTATGTTTCAGAGTGATTGTGTCACCAAATCTGATTTCTATTAAAAACGCAACAGTCATTCAGCATAATCTTAATCAACATGATGTATATCACTTCCCAGATACGTACCATGACTTTCCAAATTCAACGAGTTTCCCTTCAAAGTAAGCTGGAACTCGGGACTCATAAATGCATCTCCAGGACCACTGGTGTTAAGAATGGCAAAATGCACATAAAACCAGAATAGATAGATGGCGATCGGGACTATAATTAGACAAACCGCACGAGCAAAGAAGTGGCTTCTAAATTGTTGCTGTTGATTTTGTTGGGCTCAAAGTTAATATCATGTGATAGTTTGTTTGTCACGTGATATTGCCCCATACAGACCATAGTTAGACCACGTCTAATGTCCAATAGCTCCCACAGATCAGACATAACAGCAAAACCAATAGTAAAAACAGTGAACACTCCGACCAGCTTCACGCTGTAAAAGTACCTTTAGTTCACGTCTGCACGCTTGGCAAATGACAAATATCATTGCAGTATCTCACCTCATCGTCGAGCCGAGTGAAACTCCGGTGATGGTCAACCATAACCACCAATCTGTAGAGAATGGACTGTTTAACAAATAATGCAATTAGTAAAAAATACTGGTACTGTAATCATCATACAAATAATTAACGCGTCTGGCTAGCTACCTTAATCGAAACTTGTAAAACTTGATATAAGAATACAAAGTACACATCATAAAGAACAAAAGCATCGCATCGAGTAAAATCAATCTCGTTTGGGTAATCAACGCATTATCTATCAAGTAACAAACCGATCAACAATCCGCTCCAACCAAAGTCCTCCCCCGTTGTCCATCTTACCAAACAATACAAGCCCGGCCGCGAAACAAGCGGTGATAACAGGGTATCCAGACTCAATCAAGATCAAATAAGTTAATGGAACCAGCAAAGCTCCAAGAGTAGCAGGCAACAATCTTAATCCAACGTATGGAACGTTATTTTTTATGTAATCGTCGCCAATGTTATCGAACTCAAAGTGTCCATCATAACCAAGAAACCAACCCATTGCCGCTAACATGAGTTTGGCTAAAGGAGGATGAACGTCAAAGAAGTATGTGCGTTTCAGGTAGAAACTTGCAAACTTGCCAAAATGAACTTCGTCAAAGCTGATAAATTAGATTGTGATAGATCCCGATGTAGGTGGTTAGGAGTTCAATTGTTTCTTACAGAGAATGCAAGTGAGGACAGGAATTGATTAAGAAAGGTGAAAGACGGTTGGGAATTTAAATACAACTTACACAACTTCGCTTGGATTACTTATACGCCAAAGTCTCGTTATAAAGCTAAGGCCTGTAATGACTATTAATATCACATTGGAATATTCGTCTTCTTCAGGTTGTGGCGGCTCGTACTTTAACGACTCATCCTACAATGAAGCGAGTCTATAAGATATAATTCTTTCGCATCAATGCGAATACTTTTCATGCTTTCTACCTTTGTTTTATTCTCCAAGTTGGTCTGGGGTAAAAACTCTTCGGCCTCAGTATCAGACTTTTTGCCAACTCGTTGCCGAATTTCTGCCATGGCTCTATTGGAAAAAAAAGAAGCCTCTGTGCAAATGATTTTTGCAGAAATTTCATGACAACCGAAACACGTGGTGTCGTTTACTGCGTAACTCTGATTATTTTAGTAGTTCGGAATTGCTGGTATCTAGGCAAAGAATTAACTACCTCAGGATTCAGTTACCAAGAGCTACGAAAATTAGAATTAACGTAATGAATGAAGAATGACGTAGTATGTTTATGGTAATTCAATATGCATCCGGAGCATTCGGTTGTCATATCATTTATTATTCATGGCATACTTTTGCTTTCCAGCGTCGCATCGATATTTCGATTATAGCGAAGTTGGGCAAATTCTACGCGTGCATTTTAACATGATGAAGCCAGCATTCAATGCTTCATATTCGTTACAATCTCTTACTCTAATTAAGTTGATTTGGAGTAATTGCAGAACGATTGAAAAAGAATTGCTAACATAGCAGCCAAGGCAAAGTATGAATGCTTAAAAAAAACCAGAGTTATACGTGACGAAAACTCCCAAAGGTATTGAACAAATTGGAACAAATTTGAAATTTGATAATTCGATTACCGAGAAAATTAAATCACTGTATATTAATATTAATAGAGTTGTCAAAAAGTTAAATTAACTCCATGCGAATTTATTAACCCCTGAAAATTAATGTTCATAATAATCACTCGTATGTAGACGTCATCAGTTTGGATAGCGTGACGTTTCTTCAAATTTACAGAATATGCGTGTGCGGAGAATGCAAGCAATTCCAGAAGATGAATGGAAACTGGTGTCTTATTGAAAGCGATCCGGGTACGTCTTCTGCAAAGCATAACTGTATTATTGAAAGTGCATTGGTCGATTTACACGCGGACTGTAGTGGGAATTTCACAATAGCGTCATACTTATACGTGGCAGCAATAGCAAACAGATTGCAGAGCGGGAGTTTAGACAATGTGTAAAGTTAAAGCAGCATTAGTAGTCTCTCTTTCAGCTTTAAACAATATCACAATGCTCATGGATTCTGTCGGGACAAAGCAAGCGACAGCCATTATCTTTGTTGAATTACACTTATTAGAAGTCAAGATTTATTATCGGTTACAAGTATTCGTTGAGCTTATATGTCTTTGCCTACCCCCCTGCAAAGCAGTTTCTTGTGGCAATGTATCAAGTAACATGAAAAGACGTCTAATTGACTTTTTTGTGATTACAAATAGGTGTGTTTACTGATTTAATACGGGCACTACATGTGAAAGGAACGCAAGTGGAAGAAGTATGGAGTCTGGACGATCAGACATTGGAAGAACTCAAGTGAGTTGGAACCACAATTTGTCTGGGTAAAAGGCGCAAGTCGGTTTAAATTTTTATGCCCAGTATCAAAAAAGAAAAGAAAAGTATTTACTGGTTTTTTTTGTTAGACCAATTTATGGGTTGATATTTTTATTTAAGTGGCAAGGCGGTAATGACAGTTCACAAATTCCACCTGAAGCAGACTTGAGCCTTGATGATGATGTTTACTTTGCAAAACAGGTAGCGGCTTGGAAAGAACGCGAAGTTTACCGAAATATGTGCCTATTTGGGCTGGTTTAATTGTTCGCCAAGATTAAGTTGGCATTTGACATCTAATTCTCGACATCAATTGGCAGGTAATTAACAATGCCTGTGCGACTCAAGCAATCTTATCCATTCTGCTCAATTGCCCATCAATCGAACTGGGGAGCGTTTTAAGTGAATTCAAAGACTTTACACGAGATTTCAATGCATACGTACGTCATTTCTGCTTTATTTTTACAATCTCGTCCGTGTGATTGTTTGACTAACTATTATGCAACGACAACAGGATAGAGGCCTGGCCATGACAAATAGCGACTCCATTCGTACCGTACACAACAGTTTTGCGCGTGCAGATCCTTTCATAACCGAGCCCACGAGAGCAGCTACCGAGGATGACGATTTATTTCACTTTATCTCATACATACCAATAAATGGTGCTTTATACGAGTTGGATGGTCTCAGTGCTGGTCCAGTGAATTTGGGTAGGGATACCATTCGTTCTTATTCACTTCGATATTCGGCGTTATAGGCAGTGGAATTTCTAAAAATGAATGAATTTTAGTAATGGCCTCGTACACATCTAACGGCGATTGATGGACGTTTAGGGCCATGTACCGAAGACAATTGGCTTGAAAAAGCCCGCGAAGTTATACAAGAACGAATGGCACGTTATGCCGCTTCAGAGATTCGATTTAATTTACTAGCAGTCATCAAAAATCGTGCAGAATTATACCGCGAACGTGTATCTGAGAATGAAAGCCGGCTAATGGAAGCATCTGCATCAGGCGACTCTGAAACATTGATGAGGTTGACTGAAGAGAATGCAGTACTATCACAAAAGATAGAAAGGGAACACGAGAAATTCCGCCGTTATGAGGTAAACAGTCGTAATACTGCCCAGCTCTAATCTCGACACTTGCTGACTTTTTGTTACTTGTTTAGCGCGAGAATTCTCTCCGAAAGCATAATTTCATACCACTTATATACAAACTTGTTCAAATTATGGCGGAGCGGGGCGATCTAGAAAATAGAATTGAATATGCCAGGCAGCAAGCAAACAAGAGACAGAAAGATCGCGCCGAAAAGAAGAAGCAAAGTGAGGAAGCATTATGAGAAAAACGTCATAAATAATCAATCGCTTGTCCTTGGACTATATTTTACTTTTGAATAAAAAGGAACCACTTGAATTACTGACTATGATTAATTCATCTTTTTATTTCAAATGAATGACCAATTTAGAACCTAGTGATTGAGGCAAATATGTAAAGGAACGGTTTAGCTGATTGATTTATATGATAGATAACTGTCGCTTTAGACCAAAACTATACTTACTTGGCAAATTGTTTTGAGCCCTTTTGTACCTTCTTTTGATGTTTTATGACATTAAAGCGAACGGTTTTGGATAAGGGTCTTTGGTAGTATCAAAGAACAGAATGTGAGAAAAGATTACGAGTCTATTGTCGAGAGCTGCTATCATTACTGCAAAATAGACAAACATTCCGCAATGGATCAGAATTACTGCTTACCGACATTGACCAACGGTGACATGATCGCCAACCTGGTTTTCAACAAGAACAGTAGACAAATAAGTATTTATCAATTAAGTAACTTTGCCCACCCATCTCATATGCGAATACACAGTACCTGAACATCGATAAAGGCAGGTGATAGATGTGCGGCCAGATTCTTGTGGCGCTTCTCGTAACGATTATATTTGGGTACATAATGTAGATACTCTCTACGGACAATGATTGTCCTCTTCATCTTGTTTGAGACAACGACACCCGACAGAATACGACCTCGGATCGATACTTGACCTGTCCATGGGCATTTTTTATCGATGTATGTACCCTCGATGGCTTCTTTTGGTGTCTTTATGCCAAGACCGACATCTTTATACCAGCGTATTGTTTTCACCTTTTTACCAACAGTTTTGGCATTGAGAAAGATGCCCGGTTGCTTTTGGAAGGCTTTTTCAACCTAACATGGATCAATTCGAATTATCAATCATTTTCAAAAGGCATAGATTCCTTCACAACACAAAAATTGCTCTTGTAAATAACTAGAATGTGCGTGTCCGACGTCTGTAGGTACCTGTTCAGACATGTTGACTATGAATTCTAAAGAGAATGAGCCCACAGAACAAGGAAATGCGAAAGAGGAAGATAAACGTGAAAATTTTTCCAACGTTCATATAGAGTTGGGAATGAACGTTTGTAAGTTACACGAAGTACAAGTCATGTGATGTAACGAGCGCGTAATATTTTAGACATGATGGCTCAAGCCAACGAAAACGAAACATGGTCTCCCAATGGTCTCCACGAATATAGTTTGGTCAATCAAACGAGTGGGATAATTTAGTGTCTAGTTACTTCCATATATTAATACAGTAATATGACTGTGAGTCTGACAATGTCTGAAGAGATAAGAAGAAGAATTGGGGACGTGAGAAAGAAAATGTGATAGGTTACCCTAAAGAGAGTGCAACTGATTTTATAATAATTCCTGCGAGTGAAGCTCATTTATCCAAACGATTGTTAAAAGCCCAACTTGCCAGGCATATACGGAGTACTCATCGAACGCGCCAGCATTAGCAGCAGGCATCTAGTGCAGGAACTGATAATATATGGATTATACGTATATACACAATAGACAATATACAATGTGATGAATGATCGCACAAGCGTTTGACGACTGGACATCTACAATGGTTACAAAAGAAAGATGGGAGAAATGATGTACTGAACGAATTCTTGTACTGCACTTTCCGGACGCCTTTAATGATTTCTTTGAACAATCCACAAATACGCCCCCAAATGTTATCTCCAGACTGTGCGGTACATTATTATTATATATTTTTAGTTCTCCTCACAATCCAATAGAAGGAGAAATGAATGATGCAATAAATCCAGAGGAACTAGAAGACTGTCAGCAGCAGTTAGAGAGGAACTAGAAAACGCTGTACGTTGCTTTGATGGCACGAGTTTCGAATTCGGATTTTATGATGGCATAATAATATTATTAATAAATGTATTCGACTAATTTGACGGGAATACCGTGCTATTTATTTGCTTGCCAATCAATTTCCAAAATTTTCGTTTTTTTTTTCTTCCCTTGTCCACTCGATCATTATCCATCCGTCTCATCAACAGTTTGTTATCAACCTCAATAATATAGATTATAGTTCTATGGCATGAGATCAATCATTTTCGTTGTCTAGATGGATATCAGTGCTCGTAGAAAAAGGTTTTTCCTTTGAACTCGAACCTTTGCAATTGGTAAGCATTGTATATCTCGCATACACTAGTCTTTTCTTTTTTTTATGATGAGCAACGTACCGTTCGATTCGCAGTTTCCACCGAAAGGGTGTAAATCCCTGGTGATGGTTATCAACACTTCCTTGGATGACTGATAAAATAACAATCAAATAACGAATGATGAATATAATACAAAATAAC